GAAAGAAGACTAATAGCATGAGAGGAAAGAAAAGAGCTAAGAAGACAAGAAAAGGGTGTAAAAAGGAAAATAAAGAGCAAGAGAGAGAGAGAGATATCCTTGAGCTTTTGATCGGCTAATGAGTAATAAATGAAACAGATTTTGAGCGGAGTAATTATCTTTCGCTGGAGAACTTGCATAAGGAGCTAAAACTTGATGTTTTTCAAAATCAAACATTATGGGGAATAGCAAAAAACGGCTGAGCATTTATTGCACTAATTGCCAGAGGAGCATTCATGTCTTCCACGAGGCCGCACTTTTCGATCAGAGAGCAATTTAATTGTCGGCGGAGCATTGTCTTTTGCGGGGTACTTTTGGGGAGGAGCAACAATTATTGTCGTAGTAGCCTTTGTATTTTACGGGGCACTTTTTTAGCGGAGCAAATGTCGGCGGAGCAATCGTCGACGGAGCAAATGTCACCGGAGCAAGTGTCGCTTCAGGCGGAGCAAATGTCGGCGGAGCAATTGTCGGCGGAGCAAATGTCACCGGAGCAATTGTCGGCGGAGCAATTGTCGGCGGAGCAACTGTCGGCGGAGCAACTGTCGTTCGAGGAGCATTTGTCACCGGAGCAATTGTCGCGTTTTGCGGAGCAATTGTCGGCGGAGCAAATGTCGGCGGAGCAATTGTCGGCGGAGCAATTGTCGGCGGAGCAAATGTCGGCGGAGCACATGTCGGCGGAGCACATGTCGGCGGAGCACATGTCGGCGGAGCAACTGTCGGCGGAGCAACTGTCGCGGAGCAATTGTCGCGTTTTGCGGAGTAAATGTCGGCGGAGCAATCGTCGGCGGAGCATGTGTCATGGAACCCTTGGTGGTACCGACATTATAGAAGACACATATAGTAATTTAGAGATTGCAAAAACTTTAACCAACTGAATTTTCCCAAAAAACGTTAAATCCCGTTGCTTCCACCACCATAACAATCTTTTTATTTTGCTCACTATTTCCTTATAATTCTTTTCTTCTTTAACATTAATATCCAAAGAGAAGTATATTCCAAGAACTTTTACCAGGGAAACCATCTTACCCAATGTTATACCGGTCAAATTTTCATTACTGTGACTAGAAGAACCAAGCTTCATAATTTGTGTTTTGTCCCTATTAATTTTTAATCCAGATACCTGAGAGAAGGAATCTAAAATTTTTTTCTAAGATTTTCATATCTTCTGTGTCTTTCAAAAAAATTGAACAGTCGTCTGCATACATTACTATCTTCGTGAGTATATTGCCTATCAAAATACCTTTTAATTTTTGTTCATTGCGAATAACCACTGCTAATGTTTTTATGATTAACAAGAATAAATATCGACTTAAGGGATCTCCTTGTCTTACTCCCCTGCCTATTTCAAAATAGCCTGTGGAAAAGCCCCCATTCATGACACAGCTAACTACATTTTTATACAACACTTCTATCCATCCATCTACAAAAATATGGGCCGAAACCATATTTTTCAGTAAGAAATTCATATATCAGTGTGAGACAGTGTCAAAAGCTTTCTCAAAATCAACTGTTACTAGAAAACCCTGTACCTTGTATACCTGTGTGTAAAATATGACATCGTCAATAATTCTCACCGCTTCTCCTATATTCCTACTAGGCAAAAATCCAACTTGATCTACATGTATCACCTCTTCCAATACATTCTTTATTTTTTTCCGCCAACACTTTAGACAAAAGTTTATAATCCACATTAAGGAGGGTAATTGGTCTGTAATTGCAAATATATAAAGGGTTTTTATTTTCTTTTTTTATTACCGTTATTACACCCTGTTTCTGTGTGGTGGACAATTCACCCTTCTCAAAAGAGGCATTGAAGGAGTCCGAAACAAGGTTCCCTATATCAGGCCAAAAAATGCGATAAAATTCCACTGACAAAGCGTCATTCTCAGGCGATTTGTTTAAAGAGATTTTATTTAACATTGAAGTACATTCCCAAAATGTAATTTTCTCATCATACGACTTCTTACTAGCTTCACTTATATTTAAATGAGACATATTAAAAAAGAGATCATCTGTCCTATCCATCTTTTCATTTTCTGAGTATAGGTTATGATAAAAATGTTTAATTTCTTTTAGAATTTGTTTTGGATCAGATGTTCCTTCATTCCTACCATCTAATTGTAATTTGTCTATAAATGTTTTTTCTGATTGGATGCCAACAGTTGTTTAAAAATAATTTTCATTGATTTCACTTTCTCCAAACCATTTTGCACGCGATCTAACTTTTAACCCGACTACTTTCTGATCATATAACACTTTGAGTTCCTTTCTCTTTGACTCTAAATTTTGTAAGGTATCATTATCTGGAGAAATAACCAATGGAAGTTTAAGCTTATGAATATCTTTCTGTATTTTGCGTAGGTTTTCCTTCGTTTATTGTGCCCTACCTTTGGAATATTTCTTTGTTTTTTCATGAACTTTCATTTTAACGAAATCCCACAGGACTCTGGCGTCTGTAATATCTTTCTTCCCCTGATCTCCGACAGATTTAATTTCTGCTCTCATATATTGAACATATTCTACATCTAAACACAGACTATTATTGAACTTCCAGTAAGATGGACCTATATTCTGAAAAACTTTATCACCCAAAGGCAAACCCAGATAAATGGCAGAGTGATCAGGAGCTGTGGAGGGTATAATATTACACTCGGCAATTTGTTTCGTTTGAAACTACCCAATAGTCTAACCTACTTTGAATTAAAGGGTTATTTTGTCTGTAAGTAAATTGAATCGTATCTAGGTTTCTTTTCCTCCATATATCAAGCATATCAAACCTTCCAAGGAAATCCTCGAATTCTAAATTAAACTTGTGACCTCTAATACTCCCTTTACTTGAAATATCCAATTCAAAATTCCAAATCATATTAAAGTCGCCACCAATTATCATAAGGGATTTGTTTAAATTGAATTTATTTAAGCGAACACTTAAATGATTTAAAAAATCTATTTGTTCCTGCTTTTTTTCTCGAACTGGAAAATAAAAATTACAGATAATGTATCTTATGTTTTGTACCTCAACTTCTAAAATAATGTACCTCCCGTCTGAATCACACTCACTTCTCAATACTTCAACTTCAGTTTTTGTAAAATCAGAATACAAACTCCTCGACTGTGGTTGCTCCCGTGACTAAAAAAAAACACTCCCCACTCCATTCCCTCTTCCATCGATCCTCAACATCGTTTGTACTAAAAGTTTCCTGAAAAAAAATTGTATCTCCTCTCTGTCTACTCCACTTTACTATAGCGTTCCTTTTGGTAACGTCTCTAAGACCCTTAACATTCAATGAAACTAAATTCAACAGGTCGTTCTTCCTATCCATCATGTATTATTACATTACCTAATATACGTGTATATACGATCAATACCTCATTTGTCCAAATTTCGACAAGTGTACCAATGATAGCATTTTTGCACCTTTCACCTTAACATAAAAAGACACAACACTAATACAAAGACAAAACATCACAACACACACACACAAACAAAAACTAACCAAAAACACACAAAGACGCGGACGCATCATAGCGCATCGAAAGGAACCATGACTAAAAGTGGTATAAAAGTGGTATAGCGCCCCCTTCAGGTATTCGATAGAGGATTGTTATATGATACGGAAATGTAATTTGAACGGACGCTCATTTTGTTATTAATGGTCATAAAGAGATTTGATGTTGCATACGGCAATGACGAAATTTATTAGAAAATTGCGCGTGCGTTGACGCGCAGACGTACGCGTTCGCGCGTGTTTATTGAAATGAAATTGAACCGACGGATATTGACCTTGATCATGATAATTATGAATGAGAAATGATTTTCCGTTATAAAGATATAATGAATTCATTTTCAGAAAATCTTACAAAATGACACCTGGATGACGTCATGAAGACCTGATGAACTTGAAAATGTTTCTGTTACGTGTCATGACTATGACCTATAACTTTGCCAAAATTGAGAGAAATCGGGTGGAGGATTTTTGATAAATCGGGTGCACAAAAAAGGAGGTGAAAGAAATAAAATTGAAGAAAGAAAGAAAATTCTGACGAAATCAATCCGTGGTCTGTTGACAACAGACCACCTAAATATACAAAACATTTTTAACTAGAGAAATAAAACCCAATTAAGTCACATTATTTTTTTATTTCACCGTAAATATGTTTTAAAAAACTGCCGCGTTAACAAAATTGTACAGCATACATGCTTTGATCCATTGCCGAAAATATTTTGGCACCTATCATCCCCCCCCAACCACGAATACAAATCGACACCCATGTACATATGTATAGGTAAAACAAAACGTGATAGATCCTGTGAAAGCTTGAATACCTTGAATCACTTTAAGAAATAAAGCAATGAAGCAGTATTTAACTTTTACAAGAATTTAAGACCCCAAAAGCACATGCATATGGCTTGATCCAAATTCGTTTCATGAGCTCAAACTTGGTCCGGGCGACTTTGACAACACTTTTCAAAGACCCTGGTGCTCAGTCACCCGTAGCACAAAAATATGAATAGGGTATCATGAGACAGAAAACAACTTATTTCTTCATCATGATATAGATTTCATTGGTTATGTTATTTTAAAGAAGAGCTACCAAAGTTGGGTTTACTTTGATACGCATTGTATGTAAAGGTAATGTATATTTTATTTTTTTTGCTTTTTCAGGTTTTCGAAGGGAATAGGGTTGCGTTTTAGGAAATAATTTATACACGTCATGGCAGTGGAATCTGCAGTCATGGATATTTTATCTAAATTTTCAGCACGACGCAGGCCTACATATAAATAATGATATCATTAACATAATACCACCTTTGTCTTCTTTGTCTCGAATCATTGATTTATCTATTTATTCCAATATTTTTAGTTGGCTTTGACGAAGGCCAATACCAAATTGTGGACAAGTAGTTGCATTTCTAATATATGTCAACATTGTCTTTTCAAAATCGTTTTTCAACATAGGCAGAGAAGAAAGGCGTAAGCCCAACTGAAACGGGGCTTGTCTTCGGAATATTTGCTCTCACCAGTTTCATAGCTTCTCCGATATTGGGCAAATATGTGAGTATGATTTAGACGGACGACTTCATCTAAGAATGAACTGTAGCAGATCGTTTCAGCACGGTTTGAATATAGGCATACAGAGCTGAACTCTAGAAACTGCTCAAAAGAGGCTGAAGCTTCTAAGTCAAGTTCTAAGCCTACGTTGTGTAGGAAAGTGCCTTTCCCCGTTCCATGTAGGTTAGATTCAGTCCATCGGATAGGACGTTAAAAATTGTTTAATTGTTTGATTATAAAGTTTACTCAAATACTCAAGAACCTCTATTGGCTTCCAATAGAATAGCGTATATCACCTACCGTTCACTAAATGGATTTGTCCTTGAATATATTTCCTCTCTTCTTAATATCTTTTCAAGTTCTCTTGCAGGTCTTCGTTCCTCCAATTCAACAAATCTAATACTAAGAACAAAGAGGAGTTGGGGTGACAGAGCTTTTATAGCTGCTGCACCCCGGTTATGGAACTCTTTACCCCATTCAATCAAAATGTCAGCCAATCAAAATTTGTTCAAAAAAAACTTGAAAACCTATCTAATGTCTGAATTCCTTAGTTAAGACGTATTTCACAATCTGATGTAATTTACGTTGTTTAATTACCATTAATTATGTTAAATTATTTTCGTTCTCTGTAACTTCTCATGTACTTTCTTGTGTTTAATGTATTTACCTTGTAAGGCGCCTTGAGCATCTCTTGGGGTGGATATGTGCGCATTATAAATGTTGTTATTATTATTGTTATTATTATTATTACCTTCCCCTCCTGCATGGGCTCAGGTGATGCCAAATACATGGAAGTTAACGATGCAAGTAAACAGTTTCCAGTTGATATTTCAAAGAATACAGGGAAAGAGAATATCACTCTCTCTCATTTGAGAGCAAAATGTTAATCCATTCAAATATTGAACCAACGGAACTTTTTTGTTGAGGAGGCGCAACCGGCTCTTGCCACCTTTTGAAAACTAATGTGGTATAACTTAATTTAACAAAATAAAATCTAACCCCCATTAAATAATCCAAACAAATGTCGAAATTTTGAACCTAAAAGGCACATGAAATCTGATAAATATCCCCTTCCCCTCTTAAAGAAATCTGGATCCGTCCCTCATTCAGTAGTCCCGTGAAGAGTTAGGAAAATTATGAAATTAGAAAACAAAAAATAAATTAGTGCAAGATTTGCTTGGATTGCATGAGTTTCGAAACTACAGTTGGCTCTTAAATTTTGTTAATATTTTAAAGGTAAATGATTCAATGACAGATTGAGTGGATACTTATGGCTATGGTTGTTCCTTTCTTTTTTTGCTATAATTATAGCTGCCTACTATTGGAGGGAAATTCATGTTCCTTAGCGGGTCTTTCGTAACTTCTGGTTGCAATATATTGTTTGGGTGAGTATGAAGAGAAATTCACTTCAAAAGAACTACAACAGAAATATCAGCAACAACAAAAGAACAACAACAACAACAGACAAAAAACCTTTTGTTTCATTAAAAAAATCACCCAATCTCAAACATATAACTACACAAAATTCGAATCATTGTATTGGTCTGTCCGATTTTCAAAAGATGGGAAAATGTTGCAAAAATAGATAGAGCCCAATTTGCGTTTGTCTTTTCGAGCAAACCATTATTTTAATCTTAAACGAGTTACTAATAAACATAAAACACCTCATAGGGATTTAATTGTATTTGAATTGACTATTGTATATGAATGATATCTGGTCTAGATCACGTTTATACATGTATGCCTGTCTCTGTGTTATCAAACCTTTGAAAGAAGATCATTGAATGTCAAAATCACGTTTGTTTATTTTTTTCCTTGACAGATTTCTGAACAAGATTGAAGGCAAAACCACTTTCTTGATCTACTGCTTTGTAATTCGCATAGTGGAAGCTCTTGGATCAGCTGCTACAAACACAGCAGGCTTGGCGATCTGTGCCAATGTTTATCCAGACAAAGTTGCTCAAATGTCTGTAAGCTGATATTTATATATACATGTATATATATATATATATATGCTCTCATTAACGTGGATTACTTTTGGTTTTCATATTATTGCGAGAAAGAGTCATGCTGCTAACCTTTTCGTTTTGACTCTTTTTCTTGTCTGACACAAATACGGTACAGTACAGCTACAGTACATCTCTAGTTTTGCATCCGGCCTCCAGACCAAGGGAACTTGCACCCTTTTCAGCGCAAGATATCAACTATGGCTATAATCGCGGTCTTCATCCTGCAGCTAAACGTAGAAGGTCTTACTCGTTGTAAATGTGATATCAACATACTGCTATTAGAACATGGAGTAAACCATCTTCCTTTAAGAGACTCGTTGTGAATCTGTAGAAAGTTCCTCGTTGAAGGCTTTGGCCTTGTTAACGTTAAGTATCCCCCATAAGAAGCATGGTATTGTTACTTACACTAAGCAGGGCATCCAGGCATAATCACTTGCTTGATCTTCAGTAAACTTAAGCGTCAAGCGTCAATTATACAAGCACTGCTATTCAGTTCTGCAACATCTATAACCTCCACCTGCGGGTCGAGACTACGCCCCTCTTTCACGTATTGCAGCATCTTCCTTTATTTACGCGGTGACTTCAACTACCGGAATACAATCTGGGACTACTCAAACACAGACAGGAACGGCTCTTTTGTCCATGGACGGGCTGAGACCAAAGACCTCCATCTACCGTGTGAGTCAAAAAACAGTTTACACCTAGAAAATTGCTAATTAATTAAAAAATCATCTATGAACAGTAAATAAGTATACATCTCATGAAAGAGTGTTTTATCCCAAATCATTTGGTATCATTTATGTGTGGTTGGTGTTCACGCTTCGATAAACAGGAGGCATTGTTGGCGAGAGTGCAAAAATCGACTAGCGCCAAAGTGATGCCCACAGCATGCATTATATTGGGATTAGCGGAGTGAGAGAATGAATTGAATGTATCAAATGAAATGCATTGCATATGCTTTTTGCAGAAGCAAAGTCACACACACACGCACAAATGTTCGTTGATATGTGATATTCGATATTTGATATGTGTGGCATAATTAATTTTGTTAGGGATGTTATTTGGATCAGCAAAGACCGAATTAATATCGAAATCCCAATTGTTTTATTCAAGCATCACATCACACAAGCGTGAACACATACCACCCAAAAATGATACCAATTGATTTGGGATTAAACACTCTTTCATAAGATGTATAATAATTTACTGTTCATAGATGATTTTTTTTATAATTAATAACGTTACTAAAAACTCCATGAGGCACAACACCTGGATATGTCCAGACTTATATTTTGTATCATCCAACATCTGCAATGGATGCCCAAGTACAGTCCTTCCTAGGTACCGTAGATCAGGTAATTGCCCACTTATCCTCTCCGGCATGGCTAAGACCGCAATCTCCAGTTTCAACAAGAAAAAATGAAACTTCAGGAAAGATGGCTTGAGCTTTATACTAACCTCACCATCAGCCTGGCTTCTTTTCTTTGTGACCCTTCATCAAACGCGAATGAGGCATACTCAGACTTCTATGCCACGATCCACAAAGCTTCAAACCATTCCATACCCAGATGCAGGAGAAACTTTTAAACTCCATGTTGAGATTTTGAGGCCATACAAGGCTTACACTAACGCCAACACCAACATAGAGAGAGCTGATACAAAAATAAAATAAATCAACTTAAAGACCTCCTAGACCAGAACAGACGCTTTAGAAGTCTAGATGGGAAGATCGAGAAAGTAGGGGAAATCAACCTTACCCAATCAAGCCGTGAAGCCTGGTCCGCCATCATCCGCTTTAATGGCAGAAGCGGTTCAGGCAAACCTTGTCTCGTCCCACCGAACGCCATTGCTTCTGTGATGGTCCAACGATTGAAAGTGTAAGGATTACACACCTGAGGCCAAGCTCACACCGACCAAGTTAATGCGGAGATTAAGAATCTAACTTCCTCTTTTCCTGCATCTAGTGACCTTCCCCACTATTTCTCCTTGGAAGAAATAATATCTACCATCAAGGTCTTTACGGCAAAGCACCTCACGGAGTGCTTGAAATACCTATAGACGCTAAGGCAATTTTTTTTCAAATATCTACTACGACAGCTGTCCTTCATCCAGATGGAAGGAAGTCAAAGGAAGGCAATCCTGAAGCCTAAGAAACCAGTCAACGACACCAAGAGTTAATGATGAATCCTGCTCCTATTCCCTGTCTAACAGCTACTTGAGAGAATGGCAAATCTTACCAGAATCGCCGATATCATCGAAGGCAATCTCCCAAAAGGTCAACTAGCAACCTTTTCACACACAGCTAAAATTCTATAAACATGACTAGTATAAACGTGTTTCGAACGTGTTTAAACTAATCACGAGCCTTTCACAAACAGAAATTTCGGTGCGATCGTTAACTGTTTCGTGATAAACTACTGCTCGTAAAATGAGCAGTAGTGCCATTGCGCATTGAAGGTCATGTCATGTCAATCAAAGCGCACGCTCCATCCAGTTTAAACACGTTTAAACAAGAATTTCCTTTCACACACAAAATGTCAAGCTCTCTAGATACGAACTTCGTATCTGCAGCCTGCTTTTAGGGGCGTATGGATCGCGACTTCGTATCTATCCCAACATCGTATAAACGATGTTCACACTGGGAAATTTTGTCTATAAACATGTTTAAAACTGTTGAGTGATTCTAATCATCTCTAGATACGATGAATTTTAGCTGTGTGTGAAAAGGCTGCTGGTTTCCAAGAAGGACGCTCAACAATTGACCAAGTGGTGCGCCTCATCACTGACGTCGAATTTCCAAAGAAACGAAACATTTGGTGCTGTTTTCATCCACATGACTGCTGCCTATACCATGTATGGCACCGAGGACTACATCTCAAGCTGCTTATAAAACCCTTCCTGATTTTAGCATTGTGAGGCTGATCGAACTAATCTTCAAGGACCGTTCTTTCACCCTAACAACTTCCACAAGAGTCTGCAGTAGGCAGCGCAAACTCCGTAACGGTCTTCCACAAGGCCCAGTTCTCGCAGTACTTTGGCAGTACTCTCCCCCGCAGGCCTCTAACCTGATCCACCTGACTTTTGTGAATGCGGTCAAACCCAGACAAGCAGCCTCCTCGTATAACTGATCTTTATATAGAAGCCGGTAAACACACTATGAAAACGAATGCGAATAGCAGTTTACTTTACACTTATCTAATTATTTTTCTTTAGGGGGGAGAGGGGGTCTTTTTAAAATCTTTCTGCATGATAAGAAGAAGGACATTACGTTCAAAGACGCTAATAGCTACTACTATTGCTTTTTGATAAAATTAAAGGGATAGTTGAGTCCTGTTGCAGAGGGCGCTACACAAAATAATTTTTTGTGAGATAATGAAAAAATGAGTGTCAAATTCTAAAGAACATAATATTTAAATGACAAAATCATCTTTGTTTGATCAAAATCGGTTCAGAGACGGCTAAAATATAACGATTTCTAACACTTGTGTACCACCACAAATATTAAATGTTTTACGTCGTATTTCAGCCAATGCCAATGTTGGATTTTTTGTTGGCACTTTCGTGTTGCTTATATTACCCACTTTATTAGCCGGCTCATGTATTGTTATTTTTAATTTAAATAATTAATTAACGGTCACCGTGTTTTTTTTTAAAGGAGCTGATCGTATTGGCTAAATTTCACACATGTTAGGGTCTAAAATTACCTTCATAGCAATTTTAGGTTCGAAAGGGGGACTATAAATGTCATAGATAAGAATAAGAGCAATAACCATGCACTTTGAAGGCATTTTCGGTCTGAAAACAGAACTCAACTATCCCTTTAATATAAATACCGTCAATTTCTACCAAAATGGAATTTATCTCAATGCTATCAGAATTGTAAAGTGGATTATACTCTTATTATAATCTGTATATTTTTTTTTTCATTTAGGGTTTTCTAGAGGTTTTCGTCGGCATTGGTTTAGCAATTGGTCCAGCTCTCGGCAGTTTATTTTATGGAGTAAGTTATGCATTTTATTTTATTTTAAAACCATTTTCAAACTCGGCATTTCGCATAAAGCTGACCCTAGAAAAGTTCATATATCGTCAAAATCTTGAATTTCGACCAAGCCTTTCCCATCATATATCTGCATGTATTATACTTTCTCATAGGCCTATATAATATGTCACATAATTATGATTTCCGGCCTCTAATTTTTTTGTATTTTATACGATGATTAGCACATCTTGCTCTTGAGTTACGCTCTATGAACTCGACGAATTCGGAATATTTGATATGTTATTTTTTTATTTTGTTTTGGAAACAGTGCTCGATATCAAATTGAAACTTCCGACATTTGCTCCGCCGACAATATTGCGTTAGAAGTATATGGTAAGGTTAGGGTGATGTTTACGTGCTATTTTATTTCCATCATGCACAGGTGTTACAAATAAATGCTTGATGAGCAAATTCAAAAAGATTGATAATTACATATTATGTTACCTTGTTTGGTAAAGGGTTGAGGTTAGGAATTGTTTGGCGGTGGGTAGAATGAAAATTTTAATTAGCAGGAAATATCAAACACCCCTAAAAATGAGTCCCCATCACGCTCATTCTCTCCCTCTCTCTCTTATTTTCCTATACATAGATCGGTGGATATCAACTTCCATTCCTAGTCATAGGTTTGACAGCAATGGCCTTTACTATCCTGAATATATTCACCTTACCAAGCTTGAGTACGTTGCTGGTATTTATTAAAAAAAGCTATATAATGGAAATTTTTACAAATTCGCAGACAAGGTTTTTGAACCCCAAATAAAGCTCTCAATTTAGGATAGCTTGTATAATGGCTCATTAAATGCTATCATATGACAAATATGAGAGAATTTGTGAGTTATAAATATTGTTAACTCATTACAAACATTAGCTATAACTTGAGGTTCACTCAGAGTATTCTTATCATATATATATATATAATGTTGGCTAAAACAGGATTTTGTTTATCAAATTGATAATTTCCATGTTTTCTTGATATCAGTTTTACAATGATATCGTTAAACTTTTTTTCAAAGATCTTCTCGACCTTTCTTGATTCTGATGACACATTATTTCGAATCATTTTATATTTCTTTTCATTTTCAAATTTTTTAATTCAATTGTAATCAATAACTTACGACATACCCATGGCTTTTTAACTTTTTATTTTTGTCTAATTAATTTTAAGAAACATAAGGGGTTCATCATGATGCATTTGACAACTAGAAACGAAGACATCATATGTGTTGGTTTTATAATTGTCTATACATCTTACCATTCTTCAGAACACAATGTGCGGAACAATGATTTCTTGGTGTTGACATCAATTTTTCTTATATTCTTTCCCTTATCATATTCATAAAATGACTATAAATTAATTAGTATTACCAGTACTGGTATATAGTCTGATACATCGGGGTAAATTATATCAGTCTTCACACTTGAAGTGTATGATTAAATAAAAATTTGTAAATAGGTGATGCAGTATGTTATAGAATAGAAAATATTTAAATGACTATACCCTTTAACAACAGAAGATTTAAAGTGGGATTAATCTGAAACTACGTGTTAATTTCAGTTTGTAGGCCATTAAAAACATTATCTGAAAAATATAAAACATTAAACATTTGGCGAAAAGGAGCACGTAACTCTTCTTCATAATCCTTCGTCTTTCCCGGAGCTGAGAATTTTCAGTACGTCGCCATTGTGTTTGCGCACGCCCCTTTCTGTGACGTATCGCATGGATTCGACCGCTATTGCGTACGTACGTTTTCCTGCTGTAAACTGTGAAAATGATCACTGCAGATCCCATCGTTTTTCCTGTCGTACTTGTACTTTTTATCCAGAAATTTGTTTGCCTTCAGAGCATTAATTGCCTTCAGAGCATTAATTGCGGTGGTGTTGGTCTGGAAACCGATGAAACGATTTCCATTTGGTTTTTGTGGAACAATTATTACAACCAAACACCTGACAGTGCAACATGTTTGACGTGTTTTGCATATAATGCACGCGCCACGCGCTACATCACTTCTCCTCGCGATACGTCACAACCCGGGAGTTATGAAGGGAAATTTCGATAAAATGGCAGCTTCCTTGGGGAGCAGACGGCGTCGTAAATATGGCGACGTAGGGTTTCTTTATTGTACTTGCAAGACGATATTATTTTGCTTACAGCAATGCTTTTTATATATTGTTTATATCACATGAAACGTTGTTTTACTCTTTAAAAAATACTCTCGAAAAATTAATTCCCCTTTAAGAAGGTCCAAGTTAAGTTCACCCAGTATAATTATGTAATATTGGCCTATTCTCTTTAGTCTAACATTTTAAAAATCAAACTAATAATTGAACTGTAAAACACTTGAACTACTGTAGGTGGCCTGTATTTAGCCAATATTGACTTCTTTTTTCACGAGGGACTGTAATTTCAACTGTAAAACATTCTTGGATGGTTGTTACAAGATTTAAGTCAACCATGTCTATTGTCTACAGAGGCGCCCCTTTTACATACGAACAATGCCCCTTTAACTTTGTAAGAAGTGCCCATTTTTACATAGAAAGGGTGCCCATTTTACTTTGAAAAGTTCCCCTATTCCATTATAAAAATACCCTTCCCCTTTTCACCTCTGATAAGTGCCACCTTTTTTTACACGTGCCCCTTTTCCTTCGACTATTTTTCATTTTTCCCTTGCAATAATTGTCAATTTTTCCATTGTTATAAATGCCTTTATTAATCTTTAGTAAGTGCCCCGTTGCAAGTACGAGAAGTGCCCATTTTCACTTTTGATTATTGCCCCCTTCACCTCCAATAATTGATCTTTTCATCTCTGAAGAGTGCCTCTTTTCATCTCTAATAAATGCCCCTTTTATTTAGACACGTGCCCCTTTTCCTTTCTAATAAACACTCTTTTTCCTTCTTATTAGTGCCCCATCTCCTTCAAATGTTTACCCCTCTTTATAAAGTGCCCCGCTTATTTTGACATGTGACTATTTTTCTTTGTAATAAAAGTTACTTTCCCCTTCTCATAACAGCGCCCTTACACCTCCGCTAAATGTCCTGATCTGATCGGTGCCCCTGTTCTTTTGAGAAATGCACATTTTCCTTAATTATAAGTGCCCCTTTTTTATTCTCATAATTGCCCCTTTCATATCTGGTCAGTGCCCCTTTTCAGGTGCGATAAGTGCTCCTTTTCACCTCTATTAAATGCCCCTATCAATATCTGATGGGTGCCCCATTTCCGTCAACAAAGGCCCGTTTTCCATTCTAATAAGTGCCGTTTTCCATCCCTGGTGAGTGCCTCTTTCCAGGTTTAAGAAGTACGTCATTTTCACGTCTGATAATTACCCCTTTTACTTTGACACGTTTTTAATAAGTGTCTTAATTTATCCCTTTCGATATGTGTCCGCTTTTTCTCTCATCATTAAACGAGCCCCTAATTTAAAGCAACTAAGAGCAATTTCCCCCAAAGCACGAAATAAAGTTGCCTACGCCAGTGAACGTAACGTTATACTCTTTATCCTGTTCCGTGTTTCCTTAGAGTCCGTCAATAAGGAGAACACGAGCACAGGTTCCTTGCAGGATGTGATGAAAATCCCGGCTGTCTGGGTCGTGTTTATTTGCTGTGGGTGGGCAAGTACTTGCATTGGCTTTACAGAAGCAACATTAACCCTCCATCTAACGTCCGTGAGTACCTTAAATCTGTAGGCTATAGGCAGTAATGTGGGCTCATATACTCCAGTGGTTTCATCACTAGACTTGGAATGTAAACGTCGTGGGTTGGAGCCCCATTACGACACATATTACCTTAAACGATACCCTGGTGTTATTTGCGAAAATTACTGCTTTAATTAGCACATATACAAGCATGCATGAAGCCCTTGCTGTTTTTGTGCATTGTAACTAAAGACCCTTTCACACTGGGCCATGCATGCGTAGACTTGCGTAGTGTTGCGTACCGATTATGCCTAGCGTACGCTGCCCTACGCAGGCCTACGTAACTATGCACTGAGGGACGCAAAGAGGTACGCGAGATGGACTCAAAATATTAAACGTGTTTAATTTTTTGGCGTACTTTCGGCATAGACACTAGACGCAAAAAGTGCGCATTTTTTACACAAGTCTACGCAACACTACGCTACAGTACGCCAATCCTAGCAATAATAAGTCCGACGAAGCAGTAAAAGCTTGCGCACATAGTAAGCAACCGTACGCAACCGCAAATGCTCCTTAACCCCCCCCCCCCCCCATATTCGCCGCAAAAAAATTTGGTCATGAAGAAAAACAATTAGTGCTCTTAAAACTCCCCCCCCCCCCTTATTCGCCGGCCGGCTTATCGGCTGATTCACCGCTAGGTATTTTCTCACGAATTGACCCCCCCCCCCCTCGCCGCCGGTTGGATCCGCCACTGACATAGTACATTATACTTTAAAGCTTTTCCTACAGAATTTCTAGTTCGTATTGTTTTTCAGTATTTTTAAACCTATGCAATTTACGATGTATCTGTATAGTTGTTTTATTTGCTCTTGTCGCATTAAGTAAACAACGTCAACAATAAAATGTCAGGTGGAAGAAAAAGCAATCTTTCTATTCGTAAGACTTTTGCCTCCTATGCATCACAGTTTATAGGTTAGCTAGTCTTAGTGTTTTGATATTCCATCTATTTCCCAACAGCCTCCGTTTAATCTTAGTCCATCTTCAACAGGACTGCTTTTCTTCGTGAATAGTGTGATTTATGGCATCTTTGCACCGATAGCTGGGTACATCGCTGACAAAAAGGTAAGCGTTCTTTCATTTATTTCTGTTTAAATTTACTATAATTCCTATTTTAAAATTAATACATGATTTTAAAAAATACCATTAACATAATTTCATCATCATTATCATTGTCATCAATAGCATCCTCAATCATGTGAGCTGTAGACCAAGTATAAGACAGCTTTGAATCGTAGTTCTCTTCTCTTCTTTACTATTGATGTTGCCATTGTTGATGAATAATATTTGTCGTGGTTGTTATAAGTTTTAATCTGTATCGTTGATATCAATATCAGTTTCATAATTGCTATTGCTTTTATTCTTATTGTTATTAATATTATTATTATCATTAATATTTGATATCATTATCATTATATATTATTAGTATAGTAGTAGTAGTACTAATATTACTAAAGTGTATCAGTATTGTAGGGCTGTATATTGTACTCCAAGTTAAAGGGCCCATGCCATTGAAATACAAGTGTATTCCTGTTGGTGTGCAGTCCTGCATACATCTCATATTTTGATATGTAAACTTCTGAATTTGTTTCATATATTTTTTAATATTTTTTGAAATATTTGTTTTTCAAACTTGCTAAGCTCCACCCCTAAAAAACCTCCATATCTCATTCCCCTTTTGACATCATCTGTCAGTCATCAATGAGCTAACTTGAGAAAGTGACATGTAGTAACTTTGCCAAAGTTGACCACCTGTTACAATATCACAAACAATAGCAACATTTCTATTTTTCTATAATTTGTTAAATTTTGCATGACTCTTGGTTTAAAAATTAAAACTTTAAAAGGAATGGTTTGTACTTTACATGTCTTGCCCCTTAATAATTATATAATATATAACACGATCCACATTTGTATATTTAAATTTTGTATTAATTCAACCATAAAATATTTATGTCAAATAACTGTACACTCCTAGCCTGTATTTTGCTACCAAGACGGAGTCCATCGTTCTCTTTCGGTCCACTTTATAATTGTCAAATATGAAGACATATTTTTTTTTTTGCTTTGCTTTAATTGCTTGGCACTTTATAATTTGTATGCCTCCGTTACGATGTAGCCGGAGGCATTATGTTTTCGGATTGTCCGTCCGTCCGTCCGTACGTCCCGTTCTCGTGATCACGTTATCTCAAGAACCGACTAATAGATTCCTACTAAACTTTGGTCATGTATGTAACTTGCATAGCCAATAATAATAATAATAATAATAGTACATTTATAAAGCGCAGAAACTATCCAACATTAGGTATATATTCTACTGCGCTACAAGAATGAATTGATTAGATTTTCGGGTCATGAAGTCAAAGGTCAAAGGTCACAGGGCTCATTATGTATGCAAAAATAGCTCGTGATCGCGTCATCTCAAGAACTGATTGATGGATTCCTGCCCTACTTAGGTCATGTATGTATCTTGCAGAGCCAATGAATTGATTAGATTTTGGGGTTACGAGGTCAAATGTCAAAGATCACAGGGCTAATTATGTATACAAAAATAGCTCATTATTGCGTTTATCACAAGAACTGATTGATCGATTCCTGCCAAACTTAAGTCATGTGTGTATCTTGCAGAGCCAATTAATTGATTAGATTTTGGGGTCATGAGGTCATACGTCAAAGGTCACAGGGCTCATTATGTGTGCAAAAATAGCTCGTGATCGCGTTATCACAAGAACTGATTGATGGATACCTGCCAAACTAAGGTCATGTATGTATCTTGCAGAGCCAATTAATTGATTAGATGTTGGGGTCATGAGGTCATAGGTCAAAGGTCGCAGGGCTCATTATGTATGCAAAAATAGCTCGTGATCACATTATCATTAGAACAGATGGACAGATTACCATGAAACTCAGGACATGTATGTATCTTGCTGGGGCAATGAACTGATTTTATTTTGGGGTCATGAGGTCAAGGTTAAAGTTGAGTTGTGATGGATCGCCTAACAGGTCGACCTCCGCTCTGTGCTTGGAAAATGTTTGGATATACTAACACGTATTGTGTGGACCAGTCCCCAAGTTGTTATCATATGACTTTTGATAGAACAAGGGTTCTGCTGGACAAATTTCGGAAGTTTTTGGACATCCGTTTGTACGTGAGTACTTTGAAGAACCATTTTAGATTTGACTTCTGCCTCCAGTACTATAAGCCTATGTACAGCCATGTTAGCAGTACCATAGCTAAGTACACGATCCATGGAATCTATTGCCTTGTATTGACGATCTTTTGTATTTGATGCACTCAAGCCAACAAACCTATTGAACTTGGACAAAAGATTTTTTCTGTGCTTCAAATTTATATAGGCCTATAGGCCTACAGCTATTCATTATGTACTGGCCTTGTACTACCATCTTGTTCACACTGCTTGTGTGTTGCAATAAACACATATGTACAATAATCGTTACGAGTCAATCTAGTTATTACTATCCTATATTAACTGGAAAGTTGTTCCACCATCACAAGTATTTAAAGGCACCGAGTTTATATTACTCGAACTCTTCAGCATGTTTTCACATTGACATTTTTGGTGTGTGGTGACATACACCCAAATCCGGGTCCAGTCTTTGTGAAACGTAACCGGCATTATTCGATTTCTGAGTTTTATAAACTACGATCACATAATGAGTGTAAACAATTACCTTCTACAACATGGAAAACCCTCGTCGAACTGGGTATTTCCAAACGCCATACCCGTACTCATCGTGGAAAGCGCGCTGGGACGCGCAAACTCCAACCTTTTCAACGAGAGTATTTGACTTCGTCACTGAATGTCAGTCATCAGATTTCAGTTTTATTACAACCACACAAAACTCGAAGCATAGGTTTTGAGAAGAGAAGAAGCTGTGCAAGCAATCTAATTCATATTAAACCCTCTGTCTCATTGAATGTGAAGAAAACTTAATGATCTACCAATTCTTTATTTGATGAACGCGAGATCAATGAAAAACAAATTTGATGGAATTGTTGTTGCAGTTAATAATTATAACGCTGATGTTTTGGCGATCACGGAAACCTGGCTGGATCCAGATACACCGATTGATTACTTCTCAATGGCCGGATACATGTCTTTCTCCAAGCCAAGAGTTGGGAAGAAAGGCGGAGGAGTAGCAGCCTACATCAAGCATCGCTTCAAACCACGGGCCCTCCCGATCAACGTACCTGATGGGCTGGAAGTCATCTGGATTCACCTGCGACCACCGCGATTACCTAGGAGAATCTCGAGCATCATACTTTGTGTCGTATACTACCTAGCTACTAAGCACCCGACTTCCGATATATATATATTGATCATATAGTTTCCGCTATTGATATTTTATTAATACAATATCCAGAGGCAGGATTCACTGTAGTAGGTGATTTTAATGATCTTGATGTGAACCAAATTTTAGAAAATGATACCTTCTGCCAAGTTGTAAATAAACCAACCAGAGGTCAAAATATATTGGATAAAATTATTACAAATTTTGATTACGCATATGAACCTGTTGAGATCCTTGCACCGCTGTGTAATTTCATCCTTTTTGCCAACTGCAAAAATACAAAACACACGCGAAAACACGCATTAGCAAACTCAAAATTATCGAAGATTGTAAATCATGGATTAAATGACGGGACATTAAAACATCCGAAAATAAGCGCATTATCCTAAAATCTTGATTTTTTTTGTTGTCAGGGTCTACTTTTTCTTTTACCAACTCTCGCACACAAATTATAGAAAGGGCGGAGTACTAAATTTGAAAAGTTGTTCGATGCACTATTCCAAATACAATCCCCATATATAGTTTATAATTAACACTGAAATTTTGCCGGTAATTTAATACTTTGTAATAAATGTGAAAGTGCCTCCGAAATTCCCCGCAGTGAAAGAGCGGCTCGGAGCATAGAACTTCAAAGTCAAGTGGAGTTTCCACTTCTTCTTTATCACCTACTTGCTTCCTCCTTTCCTCCTTTCTGATGTGGAAAACCCATGCGGGCTCACACAAAACAGACTGTGCCCCACAGAATTATTATTATTAGTATTACTACTACTACTACTACTACTACATGAATAAGTAATACACTATTGGCATAAATATGGAATACGTTTTCGTACCCCTTTTCATTAAAGGTAAAGACCAGTATTGGCAACGCCCCAATTTCAAAAAATGAAATGGAAGCTCTCATTACCAATCATGTGAAAGAATATGTTTTGACTAATACATGATGATAAAAAATTTGCCGGGAAACCGCCTACTAATTCATATATTTGGTAAATTTATTTCTCTCATGGTCTGGTGAGAGAGATAGGGTAGTCCCATATACATCTTTCTGTGTATAGTGCTTGTAACTTTACGAAGAATGAGCCAAATTTCTTATCATTTTGATGATTCCAGAACCTTGCAGATGCTAGATGCTAGATGATCGACCTTTTCTGATCGATTCCACAACGTTTCTTTCACAATGCAATCGCATGACCATTACTGGTCTTTACCTTTAAGCGAATGTGAAAATATGATTTATTCTTGATACATTTTCTAAGAACTTTACTGATCAATCCAGAGTCATAGAGATTGATCAATAGAGTGACAATACATTAACTTAATCTATCAATAATAAACTATATTCTCACAATCGTTTCATGGATAGAGGTAATGTTTTTGTTCAACTTAATGGGCAACAGTGCATTAGAATCAAAATTATTGTTAGCATTGACTTAGATATTACCATAAACGTCATCATCATCACCATCATCACTTTTATATTAATCACTAGAATTACAACGATGTAGAAATTAGAAATTGGTGATGATCATTATGATTAGGTAAGAAGTATCTTGGCTGGCAAACGAGATGTAATACAGTTTAGCTAACAAGTTGAGCCAAGCCTTACGTTTAAAATGTATTATATGGACTATTATTAATAGGCCAATATCTTATTCACAGGAGAAGACACGTATCATGATAACTGTAGGCATGTGCCTTACAGGGATTTCACTCATGCTAGTTGGCCCAAGCCCCCTTCTTCACATACAAGGGTAAGTGCCCCTCTATCAGCTAGTTGGCCCAATCCCCCTTCTTCACATACAAGGGTAAGTACCCCTCTATCAGTTAGTTGGCCTAAGCCCCCTTCCTCACATACAAGGGTATGTACCCCTCTATCAGCTAGTTGGCCTAAGCCCCCTTCCTCACATACAAGGGTAAGTACCCTATATCAGCTAGTTGGCCCAAGCCCGCTTCCTCACATACAAGGGTATGTACCCCTCTATCAGCTAGTTGGCCCAAGCCCCCTTCTTCACATACAAGGGTAAATACCCCTCTATCAGCTAGTTGGCCTAAGCCCCCTTCCTCGCATACAAGGGTAAGTACCCCTCTATCAGCTAGTTGGCCTAAGCCCCCTTCCTCACATACAAGGGTAAGTGCCCCTCTATCAGCTAGTTGGCCCAAGCCACCTTCCTCACATGCAAGGGTATGTACCCCTCTATCAGCTAGTTGGCCCAAGCCCCCTTCTTCACATACATGGGTAAGTACCCCTCTATCAGTTAGTTGGCCCAAGCCCCCTTCCTTACATACAAGGGTAAGTACCCCTCTATCAGCTAGTTGGTCCAAGCCTTCTTCCTCACATACAAGGGTAAGTGTCCATCTTTCAGCTAGTATGTCCAAGCCCCTTCCACACATACAAGGGTAAGTAGGCCTACCCCTCTTCCAGCTAGTTGGTCCAAGCCCCCTTCCTCACATACAATGGTTAGTGCCCCTCTATCAGCTAGTTGGTCCAAGCCTTCTTCCTCACATACAAGGGTAAGTGCCCCTCTATCAGCTAGTATGTCAAAGCCTCCTTCCACACATACAAGGGTAAGTACCCCTCTTCCAGCTAGTTGGTCCAAGCCCCCTTCCTCACATACAATGGTTAGTGCCCCTCTATCAGCTAGTTGGTCCAAGCCCCCTTCCTCACATACAATGGTTAGTGCCCCTCTATCAGCTAGTTGGTCCAAGCCTTCTTCCTCACATACAAGGGTAAGTGCCCCTCTATCAGCTAGTATGTCAAAGCCACCTTCCACACATACAAGGGTAAGTACCCCTCTTCCAGCTAGTTGGTCCAAGCCCCCTTCCTCACATACAATGGTTAGTGCCCCTCTATCAGCTAGTTGGTCCAAGCCCCCTTCCTCACATACAATGGTTAGTGCCCCTCTATCAGCTAGTTGGTCCAAGCCTTCTTCCTCACATACAAGGGTAAGTGTCCATCTATCAGCTAGTATGCCCAAGCCCGCTTCCTCACATACAAGGGTATGTACCCCTCTATCAGCTAGTTGGCCCAAGCCCCCTTCTTCACATACAAGGGTAAATACCCCTCTATCAGCTAGTTGGCCTAAGCCCCCTTCCTCGCATACAAGGGTAAGTACCCCTCTATCAGCTAGTTGGCCTAAGCCCCCTTCCTCACATACAAGGGTAAGTGCCCCTCTATCAGCTAGTTGGCCCAAGCCTTCTTCCTCACATACAAGGGTAAGTGCCCCTCTATCAGCTAGTTGGTCCAAGCCCCTTCCACACATTCAAGGGTAAGTACCCCTCTTCCAGCTAGTTGGTCCAAGCCCCCTTCCTCACATACAATGGTTAGTGCCCCTCTATCAGCTAGTTGGTCCAAGCCCCCTTCCTCACACACAATGGTTAGTGCCCCTCTATCAGCTAGTTGGTCCAAGCCCCCTTCCTCACAAACAATGGTAAGTGCCCCTCTATCAGCTATTTGGTCCAAGCCCCCTTCCTCACATACAAGGGTAAGTGCCCCTCTATCAGCTACTTGGTCCAAGCCTTCTTCCTCACCTACAAGGGTAAGTGCCCCTCTATCAGCTAGTTGGTCCAAGCCCCTTCCACACATACAAGGGTAAGTGCCCCTCTATCAGCTAGTTGGTCCAAGCCCCCTTCCTCGCATACAAGGGTATGTACCCCTCTATCAGCTAGTTGGCCCAAGCCCCCTTCTTCACATACAAGGGTAAATACCCCTCTATCAGCTAGTTGGCCTAAGCCCCCTTCCTCGCATACAAGGGTAAGTACCCCTCTATCAGCTAGTTGGCCTAAGCCCCCTTCCTCACATACAAGGGTAAGTGCCCCTCTATCAGCTAGTTGGCCCAAGCCTTCTTCCTCACATACAAGGGTAAGTGCCCCTCTATCAGCTAGTTGGTCCAAGCCCCTTCCACACATTCAAGGGTAAGTACCCCTCTTCCAGCTAGTTGGTCCAAGCCCCCTTCCTCACATACAATGGTTAGTGCCCCTCTATCAGCTAGTTGGTCCAAGCCCCCTTCCTCACACACAATGGTTAGTGCCCCTCTATCAGCTAGTTGGTCCAAGCCCCCTTCCTCACAAACAATGGTAAGTGCCCCTCTATCAGCTATTTGGTCCAAGCCCCCTTCCTCACATACAAGGGTAAGTGCCCCTCTATCAGCTACTTGGTCCAAGCCTTCTTCCTCACCTACAAGGGTAAGTGCCCCTCTATCAGCTAGTTGGTCCAAGCCCCTTCCACACATACAAGGGTAAGTGCCCCTCTATCAGCTAGTTGGTCCAAGCCCCTTCCTCACATACAATGGTAAGTGCCCCTCTATCAGCTAGTTGGTCCAAGCCTTCAGTAGGTATAGCACACCAAAAATAAGTACAACAAACACATGTTATTTGATGATTGCAAATGATCAAGCTTTATGAAACCTTCGTAAAACAAAAAACAGAATTGAAATCAGTCAATGCGTTGTGATTTTATACCATTTTTTTTATATCGCAAAATTACCGAAAAACCTGCCAGAAATGGTCAAATTGGCAAAAAATGGCAAAATTCGACAACGTTGACAACTTAATTCATCACTTTCTTGGACACAAATAATAAATTAAATTATCAGACACTAAAATATCATCTTTGTGGTAAAAAATACAAAAAAGAAAATTCATTTATATATTAGGCCTACTGTTTTGAAAACAGAAGCAAACAAAATAATTTTTGCCATTTTTGCGAATCTGCAAATATGAAAAAGTTGTGAAAATAACTAAGTCCGTCTAGTTAATTTGCGCATATTTAATCAAATCAAAACCGAACATGATACATCAATGAAACCTATGTATATCAGACAGGTATGGTAATAAAAAAATTTTGAAGAAAAAAAAATATGCAAATTAGGTCATTTCAGCTAATTATATATAGGAAAGTCAAACTGTTCATTTTGTTGGCATTTTTTAAAATCATATATTTATAGATCATCTTTACACCAAATATTAACATTAAATTCCAAATATTTTTGCAATGCCAATAAAATATGGCGATGGAAATTACTTGGAACATCGTTACAGCTATTTCCTCATATGTTTCACAAATTATTCAGAAAAACCGAACCAATGATAAGAATTTGCAGACTTTCAGCTACATCAGAGTATAGTTTTTTGTTTTAAATGTCAGATTTGAGGATTTATGACGATTTTCCGAGAAACCATTCAATTCAACAGGCCATTAAAAAACAAAAGAAAACTAAGTCTATTCAAATCTTAAAATTGGTAGATTAGCGATGCAAGATCTCGTTCAAAGTAGTCCGGCAGCCAAATCCATATTATTGGCCTAACCTTGTTTTAGGGTCTATAGTTTTTTTTTCAATGGATTTTGATTGCCTAGACCTTCTATTTCAAGAATCCGGTTGCTGACACTCTGTCAGCTTTGAGCAATTCAAGATATATGACGTCATACAAAATGGCCGCCAAAGTACATGATTTTCATTTAAAAATGAATAATAAATATATAATAAGGATTTTTTTCTACAAATGTCTGTATCTCTCTAGGACCATCACTAAAAAAATGTTTCGTGATGTTGCATGGCCATAGATGACCAGCTTATTTGCATATTTTGAAATAGCGCCCTCTATAAACATATTAATTTGAATAAAATATGTGTGTCAGCCAAATGCCAATTTCTTAAATCTATGTCACGTTGAAATCATATTAAATGCTTTTTGGGGGCAACAATTGCAGTTGTGCTGCATTAATCTTTCATCGTTTTGATACAAATTTAGATAGGGTAGGTGTGGGGAATGGAAGACCCTTAAGCACATTTGCATAATTTACATAAACATGAAAAATGTTACACATACAGACATTTTTGTATTCTCTTTAGTATTTTTTCTCTTTATTTGGTAACGAAATTATGGTCATGATGTAAGTGATTAATAAGATGACAATGATTAATGACGTCATCACCAAAGCTCTCTCATTACCTACATGTGTAGGTAATAAGGGACAGTTACAAATCAAGACATTTTAAATACAATTTGAATGAAAATGGGATTGTTATAGTTAGTTCAAACACTTTTTGAAAGAGATACATGGAGCCAATGAACTTACTGTAATTTTGAAACGATTTTAAAACAATGTGGCCCAAAATATTTCTGTAGTTTTTTTGTTTACAGTAATAAAGGTGCTCTCAATTATGTTAAAATACTTTCAGAATAATGATCTGGCAATATGACTTTTACATTGATCAAACTCACAGCATAGAAACAACTTCTTAAAATTAAATGCATTCAAATTAGAATGGTGACACGTACAACCAAATATGTTTCATGATAGTGCCTTTCAACATGAAATGGACAACTGGGGAGAAGTAGGCCCCCATCTTGGACCCGGTGTCCCCCATTACCTACACACATTTCTGATCAGAAATGATGTGAATTGCAACACCCATTCACAACACACAATGGCCATAAGCTTTCTGTGATGGTTGGTACATTTCATAAACTTCCTTTTAAAACTAATTTTTAAGAGCCACCCCTAAATATCTGCATACACCACAACATTCAGTGAAAATTGTGTTTTTATATCAGAGCAAAATTTTAAGATCAAAATTGCTTATCTTGGTCAATTTTGCCAATTTTCTCGGAGAGAGAAAGCATTGTAGTCTTCGAAATGAATTGGATATATGCAGTAGTGTTGTTGAAGGCCACATATGTCGCTATATCAATATTGGAGCCAACACGTACAGACAGTGATGGGTTCAAGCTTGGTGGTCTCCAATTCCCTACACCTACCCTACATTATGTCAAGAAAAAAAAATGGCTATGAAAGAATTCATTTTTCATCAATTCGGTGAGAAATGGTTTTACGGCACACATTATTATTCAATTGATAGGCTTTATTCTTCCAACTGAGTCCCGCGTCACTGCTGCCCTCCAAGAAACTATCTCTTACTGTTCGTCGTCGTCGTCGTTGTCATATAGATCATGACTCACCCTTGTGACCCGTTTGATGAGACCTTTTGATCGGCATCTGTCTCCTGCAATCCGGTAGAGTGTCTTTAGAGGGTGGCTAGTGATTTCCCTAAGGTCGTCAGTCCATCTGAGCTTGAGTCTTCCTTTGTTACGTGTTCCTTCAAAGGTACCTTGAATGATAATTTGTCAAGGTTGTCTCCTGATCTTCTGCTAACGTGACCAAACTATTGTAGCTTGTACCGTCAGTCCTGATGGACATTAATTGTGTCCATTGGTGTTGTAATCTCTTCATGATATCCCAAGTAGCTTCCTCCAACACCACATTTCAAAGGCAGATATTGCCGAGCTTCCACCCTCCTTGACAATCATTGACCCAAGAACATTATATAAACTTGTCCACTTGATCAACTTCTTCTCCATCAACCACCATGCTCTGTTGCATGTAGTTAATTTCCACCAATCATGATCTTGGTCTTTTTCACATTGAGGTAGGGTCCAAATTATTCACTTGCATCCTTCACTCTTTTTTAAGGAGTTCTAGTAGTTCTTCTGATGTTCTTGTTATAAGTGTTGTCAGTGGCATACGGAGCAAAAACACTTAGAGGGGCAGAAAAACAATCTGTATCACCACCACTCATTAATACATGCAGGCCCCGCGGAACTTTTTTAAAAGCGGGGTGGGGGGTGAAGTATTTACGATCAGGAAGAGAGGAGCGCAAATTGGCGTGGTGTTCAAGGGGCACAGCCCCCGGAAGCTCAAGGGTTTCAGGCATTTATTAACTGTAAGATGAACATATTTTGATACCTCATTTAACCTCGGGTCACTTTCTTTCTTTCTAGTTCTCTTTAACATACTTTATACAAAAAGTGAGGGGGGCTCGAGTCCCCTGAGCCCCGCTGTTCTGCGGACCCTGACATGTAGGCTTTTAAATAAGCATATTTTTTGCTTGACTGTGAATTTAGGATTTGTCATTTTCCAACATAGGCTTAACAAATAATAATTTACTAAAAAGTGAGAAAAAACCCAGGAAAATCATGTCATTTCAGCAACATTTGTAAATCACTGGTATCGAATATATAGAAAAAACAGTTTGAATTTTGTTTGGGGGTTCAACTGTCCCCCCCCCCCCCAACCCTTCCCCATCAATACGCCAGAGAGTGTTGTATTGTCGGAGTATCTTAGTTTGATGATCTTTCGTCCACCAACAGAAACTTGACCATAAAAAGCCTTTCTCATGATGAATTCAGCATAGATGTTGAAAAGTTATGGTGATAAGATGCAACCTTGACGGACAACTTGATCAATAGTGAACCTTTCGGTGTAGCCATTCTCTGTTTTTACTGTTTATTCTTGGTATTGGTAGAGCGACTGGATGAGTTGAATTATATGTGCTGGAAAGCCCATCTAGCTCATAATCTTCCATAGGCGTTTATGTTGTACGCAGTCAAAAGCTTTGGAAAGATCAATAAAGCTAGGGAGAGAAGTTGTTGAAACGTGTCTCTAGTGTTGCTAACTTCACTATCTTTTCATGACACAAACTACAGTTGATCGACATCATTATTATATGCGCGAGTCTGCAGGATGATTGTGTGCTCAGAAATAGGCAAAAGCACAAGCAGGGCTTTACCGTCAAGATGAGGTTCCTGTTGAAGTGATTCCAGGCAGTGATGTCATGCCAAGGAAAGGTCTGTCCACAACATAGTTATGATGAAGCAGGCAACATCAAAGTACGGCAAGCGATTTGAATTGATGCGAATGAGAAGATGTATGTTAGGGTCCTAGTGGATGACACAGACGTCTACGTACTACTTTTTCATCGTTATCTACATGACGGACTTATAAAACGCCAATGACCATAGAGACGCCCCTTCACAAATCGAACTGTTATTGATGTTCCTGCCAATGTAGACAAGTTAGGAGATATCGTTCCATCGATGTTGGCAGGACATGCGTTGACAGGATGCGACACTCTTGGGGCATACTTTGGCATTGGATAGGGTACAATGCTGAAAGTGATGAAGCAGAAGATTCGACTCCCTTAGGACTCAGTTGGCAATGTTGATGCAGCATGGTCATATGTCATCACTCAACCTACTCAATGCTTTGCTTCATGTTATGGACAGTCAACAACCAACTGAATGTCAGAGGCTCGTATCAACGTGTGGCTATCAAGAGTCCGAAGACTAGGAGCTCCAAATACCCCCAAACCTTGCCTCACTACCTCAAACTACTGAATCGTTTGTAGAAAATGTTAAGAGAGCTCATTTGCAAACATGCGTGTGGAAGCACGCATTACAGTCACGACCTCACTTTACAGAATTAAGTGTTAAAGGTACTATGTCCCATTTGCAGGCCCAAAAAACGAAAAAGTTAAATTCCAACTGCATTTGAATGATAATACTAATTTAGAACTTCCCTAAAAAAGATGGGGCTTGAAAATGTCTTCAAGTGGGAAAATAATGACTATTAGTTGTCAAATCGACTTTAGGGCTATATAGCCGAAAAGTAATAGTCTTGATTTTCAGACAATTGTACCGAATGGTCATACGTTTTATGCTGCGCAAAGATTCAATCAGTTTAATCTTGGCCATCACAAGAAGTGGGTTATTGATGTAGACGAATGCTCATGTACCCTTTACAACTCTTTTCATGTATGTTATTACCAGAGAAGAAAAAAAGCCAGTCAGTCACTCAAGTGTCTGACAGTAAAGTCTAGCAAGTAAACAGGTTTCCTTGCATAATTTGAATACGAGGACACTGCTAACGTTTAAATTTCACAGATAGGACATACATGACATATTTATAATTCCTGCAAAGTTCTACAGCATTTGAGGTTGGCTGCAAAAGGGACAAAGTACCTTTAAATGACACCCTCTTCCGCATGGAATATTTTAGGGTTCCCAACACTTTAGAGGGCTTTTAAAGCTTATCTGCCGTAGTTTACAGGAGGGATAAGACTGCCCTGCAAGGTCATTGGACAGGTGGTTATCTCATCAACTCAGCTCTCAGTTAAACATAAGAAAAAGAGGATCATGGGGGACCAATGGTCACCGATTAGGCATTGTTTGGTATATAGAGGGCGCAAGTAGCTACAAGTAGTGTAGTGGGCCTTTAAACAAATGTCAAGATTTTGAAGCAAACTGATATAGTCCTGTATGGTATTGGTAGTTCGTAATTTTTAGGTTAATTTAAAAGAATCTAGTACCTTAGAATACAAATCTAGTTTCTTAACGCTGTCACTGAAAATGGGCATTTACACCATATGCCACCTCATATCTATGGGACAGAGAGCATAAAATTCAACCGTGTTTTCTTCGAGTATCAAATTACAAAATAAAAATAAATGTGCAGCACAATTTTTACTCACTATATCCAGTGCATCTGACTCATGACATATGATAATATCATGTTAGAAATTGGTATTTGGCCATCATTTTGAACTATTCAAGTTAATGTGTCTATAGAGGGCGCCATTCCGAATTATGCAAATTTGCATATCATTTGTGATCATACAGCATCGCAATTTTTATTTAGTGATGATTCTAGAAAAAAAATCAAGATATTTGACTGCCATTTACGTAGTAAAACGCTGTTAAAACTATTTATATCATTAATTTTGGTTAAAAAGGGGATTTTGGCGGCCATTTTGTATGACGTCACATATCTCAAATTGCTCAATGCTGACAGAGTGTCAGCAATCGAATTCTTCAAATTGATGGTCTAAGGAACTATAATCCGAAGAAAAAAAAACTATAGACCCTAAAACAAGGTATATCGAGATGGCTGCCGGACTAAAGTACCATAAAATAGAATCTCTCTTCTTTGATGCATTATGATACTGAAAACTACATCCCCATTCTGGAGTGGCATATTTTATCTACTTTGTACAAAGAATGTCACAGTTACAGAAAGATTATTATGTCCACCGTCAAAATGTGAACCTGATTCAATTCATCGACAAAATAATATAGGCTCACGTAGCCGGATGGAAATAAAATGACACCTACACTATACTAGCGAGGCTACTCATATTTACAATGTTGATCTTATATTGAAATGAGACAAATACTTGTATGCAGAATGATGATTTTTTTTTTTTAATAGTCTTATAATCGCAGCAACTGACATTTTCCATTATTTTTCTTTGTTTTACAGTCAATTGTGGATCATGGTTATATCGCTAGTGATATTAGGTTTCGGCTTAGCTTTTGCTATGATCCCAACATTTTTGGATATGTTGTTTAGTGCTAGGTAAGTAGACTTTTCTACATGTGCTCGCATTATTTCATTTATATTCAAGAAATACTGGGGGAGGGTGGTTTAGAGCTCACAAACGTAAAAATCTACTACATTATATAGCCCCTTCACATAGCCTACACGGATTTTTCTTACGAGTCCTTACGGATCGCAAAAAAATTACGGATCTTTCACAGATCCTTACGATTTGGCCACTTTTACAATCGATGTAAGAGTTGTTATGACTATTACGAGCTATTTACGGTTTATTACGGATTATTACGATGTATTTACGTCAAAATTCTACGATTTGTTACGAGTTGTCACGGATAAATACGAGCAACTAACGTGTTAGTTACGATCTGTGTACGTTTTGTATGAATAGTTATTAGTTAGTTACGAGTATTTACGAGTCCTTACGATTTTAGCCAAAAAATAACAACTGAAACTGAAGTGTTCGAATTTGCAGCTTTTATACCTTTCCCTTAATCGTAAACAATTCGTAAGAAACGTAAAGTATACGTAAATCTCTCGTACTACACGTAAACTACTCGTAACTACACGAAAAGTACTCGTAACTTCACATTCAGTGAATGTAATAACGCATTACTATCTGTAAAGCCATCGTAACACGACCCATATGAAATTGTAAACAACACGTAAGCACTCGTAATAATCCGTACATAATCCGTAAACGAATCGTAAACTAACCTTAACAAATCGTTAAAAACAATTGTTTAGAGTCATTTACGGATTCCTGCGAGCAGTTTACGGATGGTTACGTGTTGTTGCGAGCGGATTACAATACTTACGAATCGTTACGAGTTTTTTACGAGCTATTTACGGGAAAAATCAATCCGTGGACAATCGCCAGAAGATTTTTGACATGTCAAAAAATAGCCTCTCCTTTCACGGATCCTTAAGAGTGTCTGCGAGTTGTTGCGAGCTGTGACGAGTTTTTACGGACACCAACGAGATATTTACAGATACTTGCGATTGACTACGATTTGGCGATCCCTAAGGACTCGTAAGCAAAATCCGTGTATGTGAAGGGGGTATTATTGTAAAACTAACCAGAAATGACATAAAATGTAAACCACAAATGTGAAAACATTTCTGATGTACAAAAAATAATAATAATAAAACTCACTAGAGAGTAGAGACAGCCTTGAATATTATAGAACGAAGAACAATACTACTAAAACTAAAGTAATGAAAGTAACAGGATCAGATACAACACCAGAGGAGTGTTTCACAAAGACTAAGATTGACTTTAAGTTGGACTTAACTATGGCAGGCTGTTCATGCCACTGTTTGCTCTCACCATTGTGATCTTTAGATGATATCTTTTCCTCCAATAATGAATTATCAAAAAAATAAATGTAAATTGTCCCTTGATAGACCAAATGGTGAGAGCGAACAGTGGCATGAACAGCCTGCCATAGTTAAGTCCGACTCAAAGTCAATCTAAGTCTTCGTTAAACACCCCCCTCCCCCCACACCCCCTGCGTGATTGAAACCTGCACAGCAATAGCGAAGAAGGCATTCTCTAAACGCAGTAGGGTACTGACAGCGAAAGGCTTAATCTAACTCTTAGGCAGAGATTTGTAAAATGTCTGGTTTAGGGACGGGATCACCAATAAAGAAGTATAGAGAGAATGAACAAATGAGCTTAAGAAAAAGAATTTGGAGACGGAGGAAAAATCGAGTAGGACATATCTTAAGGGATGATGACATGTTCAGTGACATCTTGGAAGTGAAGATGGATGGTAAACTGGGAAGATCAAGAATTGGGATGGTGTAAAATTTGGAAGATGACAAATCGTATGACATAGTAAAAAGAAAGCTAAAGATAGAGAGGGGTGTACAAAGAACTAAAGAATACTCTGGTATCAGTGGTATGTTTGGCCTACCGTTGGCAGAACACCTGAGAGTGGCGTATTCTAAAATATAAAAGGGGTCACTCCAGCGCTTGAGGGGTCTACACTGGCTTCTTTCTGTGCTGGATACCCCACTAATTAATTAGAGTGTTTTTATGGTTTATTCTTTTCTTTTTTTCTTTCATTCTATATAGTTGGTACGGACTCCCTGACAACCTGGCAACACAGTCTCTTATATCGGGACTCTTCAATAGTTCTTTTACATTGGGGTACCGTGTTCTTTTTATTCTATAAAATATATTTTCATGACACATTGTTTATATCACCTTTCGTCTATTTCATTAAGAGGATAATTGAAGTTATCGTAAACCTCAAGTAGTGGCAAAAGCAATTATTTCACACAAATATATGACAAATGCTAATTTGGACGTTTATATAGAGGCACTTATGAGAATGGAAAAGGGGCCCGTAAGGATAAGGGGCAATTGATCAAGGAAAAGGGGCATTTATGAGGAGAGGACTGAGCTATTATTAAAAGATGCACTTATTAGAGATAAGAAGGGGCACTCGTTAGAAGGGGAAGAGGGCACTTAATACAAAGTAAAAGGGGTCATTTTTCAAAATGAAAGGAACACGTCTCAGATTAAATAGGGGCAATTAAAAGAGATGAAGGAGATACATTTCAGAGGTGATAAGGGGCACTTATAAGATTGTGAAGCGGAAACCTATATTAAAAGGGGGCACTTTTGGGGTACTTCATAAAAAAAGAGTGGTTCACTGTGCCCCACCCCCGGGATATAATAAGCAAATAACTGGCGTTGGTGAAGGTGGTGGGACAAACTATCACTTCCGAGGCGAGCTGGATGTAGCTATCTTTCCAAAGCAAAGCTGAGGAAAGATATACATTCAGATACATTCAGATCGCCGAGGATTATTTGTTTAATATTCCACATCGGAAACATTTCACTTATTCCGTCATTTTAGAGCAACAAGTCATTTTCTTTTCTTTCCCGCTTGTTCACAACGTTCTCACTTGTCGTCCCATTTTTTAGTTTTGTTTTTTTTTGTTTTTTTTTCCATTCTCGTTAATCATCTTTCCTTACGTACCTGTTCTCTTTTCTGAATTGTTTTCCTTGCAATTATTTTTTCTCTCCACACAAGTAGTGCTAAAATAAGCACAGATCATGTTATTTAATGTATATATAAATTTGTTTATGCTGAGGAAAGCACAGAACTCTTCCTTTTTTCAATTGTTTAAGATATGTCTAGTAAAATGTGTCACCCTCGTGTAATCATATGCTTTTGTAAATATGCTAATTCAGATACCCTAAGTTATATATAAACATATGAACCGGGACCTACATAATACAAGCTTTGCTTTTTAGTAGATCCCCCACTTTATTGATTGATTTATATGATTGTATTCTCTGTTATATCTATTATCATGTACATTATGTTTTCTATATTGTATGTTTAGTTATTATAATTACCATTATATTCCACATACTAAGAATCTTGCTCTACGATTGGTCAAAAGTAAATCACGTGATGAAAGATAGTTCGCCCATTATTGATGGGAGAAGCAAAAAGTTCGTCACACTGTGTAGAGAGTACTACTATCTACACAGTGCAACGCACTTTGACAGAAGATAGAGGTACTATGTACACAGGGCAACGCACTTTCACTGAAGATTATCCAAAAGCGCACTAAAACAGGCGTAATTAAGCGCGCATTACCAATGAGCGCAATTAAAGAAAACACATGCGCGTACCGTACCCTTAAGGGATTGGGTTAAACTTTTAACTTTTTTGGGTGAGAATTTGGGCCTAGGTGTCTTTTATGTTGATGCATACACGTCCTTTTATTTTTGTTTTTAAATAGTTTTAGATGTGGAATATAAAGCAAATAATCACCTTTTGGTTTCAGGCGATGGCAAACTATCACTTCCTCGTCGATCAGAATGTATACGCTATGTTTCCTCAGCTTCGCTTCGGAAAGATAGCTACATCCAGATCGCTCGGAAGTGATAGTTTGTCCCATCACCTTCAACAACGGTAGTTATTTGCTTATTATTCATTATGTTCAATTATGTTATCTTTGATAAAGCGAAATAAATAAATTTGAACTTGAAACAGCTAGCAAACGGTGTACGAGGCAGTGCATGCAGTACGTACGTACGTACGCATACGCAACGTATCCAATTAAAGTGCGTTGCACGGTGGAGATAGTACTACTATCTACACAGTGCAACACACTTTCACTGAAGATAGTAGTACTATCTACATAGTGTAACAAACTTTTCTACTCCCACCAAAGATGGGCGAACTATCTTCTTTCACTGAAGATAGTAGTACTCTCTACATAGTGTAACAAACTTTTCTACTCCCACCAAAGATGGGCGAACTATCTTTCTTTACGTGATTTACTTTTGACCAATCGTAGAGCAAGACTCTTAGTATGTGGAATATAAAAGTAATTATCCTCGGCTTCATAGTCAATTAACGGATAGCGCTTTTTCGACCAAATGAAAATTGCTTTTGATATTACATTTTTTCCCCAGATATTTTTTAGGGCCAATCGGAGGAGGTGCCCTAGTTGAGCGGATTGGATTTAATTGGACATCAACATTTAGTGCTTGTGGATGTTTTATCACCGTGCTTATGATCAGTCTGTTTGGAGCATGGGAGTTTAAATGTGGAAAAGGGTAAGATTGTAGAGGAGACATTGTTTTGGGGCGCAGCCTATTTGGGGGCTTTCGTATCCCAGTAGACCGACAGGCCAATAGACCGAAACACTGTCTGTCTTAATTCCTCAGATAAGTTTTGTTAGCAGGATGCCCCTGAGATCGCACTTGTCGGTCTCATGGGCTTTCAGTCTTGTCAGGCCCGTCGGTCTTTAGAACCTTCATGATTCTCTTCAGAAGGCTCCAAAACCAATAGTGTCGGTCTCGTGGGCTGTCGGTCTCGCATTGGCCCGTCTGATCAGATTATTGACCGATTTGATCAAACTGACGGTCAACAGAATGAGAATTTTGGTCTTGCAAACCTAATATCGAATCGTGGTCCTGTCCTCACTGTATGAATATAGGTGTAGATTCAGTGACGGATCGAGTCAGTGGGAACACGGGTGGCCTGTGCCACCCCCCTCCCCCTCCCCCTCCCCCGTCAATTACTGACATCCCTACATACAAATATGACTACCCTCGGGGTAAATTAGATTCAAATTTTAGTAGTAGTAGAAGTAGTAGAAGTAGTGGTAGTAGAAGTAGTAGAAGTAGTAGTAGTAGTAGTAGTAGTAGTAATAGTAGTAGACCTAGTAGTAGTAGTGGTAGTAGTAGTAGTTGTTGTTGTAGTAATAGTAGTAAAAGTAGTAGTAATAATGTAGTTTATTACTATATAGTAGAAGTAGCGGTAATGGCAGCAGCACGTTTCCTACCCCTTCAAGTTTTAGATAAACAGGCGAAGTCTACTCTGATACAAATTTTCCTTCTTTACCTGTCAGAATTTTTTTCTCAGAATTTTGGAACCCCTATCTTTTTGTTTTTCCTTTTTTAAAATCAATTTTACAGAATCCTATATCCGCTACCGGTAGCGATACTACTATTACTACTACTACTACTACTACTACTACTACTACTACTACTACTTGTAATTATAATATTAACATATTCATAACAATAATAAAAAATAATAATATAATATCAATTGTGAAAAATGAAATAACAACAAATAAGACTGAAAATGATAATAACCACCTTCCCTGTCCCATCATTTGATTGATATCTTTGCAGGCGAAGGATACCCAGCCATATGAATGAACAGTCCTGATCAGGTCATTTCTGGATTTCTTATCCTTACCTTTAACCCGGCAGTTATCAGTCTCAATGCCTTCAGGTTGTCTGAACCTAGGTTCTGGTTATTTATGTGATGGAGAGTACATGTAGCTGAGTGAGGTCCATTAGTGCGACCATCTCCAATAATGATCGCCAGTTTTCGAGCCATGTATTAAACTCTATGGTCCATTTTAACTGCCTTGAACTACCGTACACCTGCACCCCCCCCTTTAATTTTTATAGTACGTCATCGATACTTGATACTTTAAAAAAAAAAACCTCTTTAGCCCTCCATAGGCTATTTTATTGAGTCAAACACACATTTTTACAATTCAATGAAATTAAGTCTTTCCTTAACTCAAACAAAACAGAATACTTTCACATTTTTCTCCTTGTTGTTCATACAAACAAATGTTGAAGTGACTGCCATTTTAGTAAAAAAAAAATTGTTATACATATCAGATATAGAATGAATATATCTCTCGTCTTCATAATATTGAATAATATTTTTCTTCAAAGAACTAAAATTTGGAATTTTGTTATTAAGCTTTTGAAGAAATAGTTGATGCTTAATCAAAGTCACCATGCAATCTAAAGCATCGTTTCTTTTGTCTTCAAAACCAAAAATTACATTTTCTAAATTAAACTCTATCGAGAACCTTCATTTATCCATTTCACCGTTTCATTCCAGATTGATTTACTGATTTCACTATTGTAAAAGAAATGTACAATATATTCCAGCTCTTTTTTACAAAACGAAAATTTTTCATTACTCACTATTTTCATCTTATACAGTTGCTTGTTCAAATACAGAATCCTATTTACTTTCTTATACTGAAAATATCTTAAACCGATATCTGGAGTAAAACGAAATATCATTCTATGATATTTCTGCATTCTTAGACATTCAGGGGTATAATCTAAATGTCGTTCCCTTTTCAGACATATTGAGTTAACACAATTTGTTTTTCTCAGAAAAGTTTTGTAAATATATGGACAACATTTTATGTCATGTACTAATATTTTGATATGTGACGGCATTAGAGGATCTACTACATTTTTTTCACATTTTTCAATATGCATTTGATATCGACACTTTCTAACTTGAGTTACAGAATAATAAGACAAATAATTTATGTTTAAGCAGAATTTTTGTTCACATTGCTCACGAGTCCGAAGTTTTCCCTTATCATCAATCAAATCATTTATACATCTGATGCCTTTTTCATACCAAGATTTAAAAAAATACAGATTTTGTCCCATGTTTATTGCGCTGTTTCTCCACAACAGATAAGTTGACCAATCATCTCTCTCTATACGACTCAACATAGACAGAGCGTGAAACACATGTCTCCAAAAAAGGATTAGCAACTTCATGAGACAATGCCGAAAAATATTCATCACCAAACCCTACTACAAATGGTTTTGTTAAAAACGATTGCATTAAATGACTAACATCATTACATGTTCCTAAAACCATTCTTCGAAGCCATGTTAACTTGTGTGACATGTTAAAAAACTCAATATCTGGCATTTCAAGTACCCCTTCTTCATATGTGCCAACAACCTGTTTCCTACTAATTTTATCTGGCTTATTCTTCCATATAAAGTTAAAGAACTTAACTTTTATGGTTTTCATACTTGATACTTGAATTGTAAATTTAGTCGAATATTTACAACGAAAGTATGAGAAATTAGTCGAATCTTCATTGACAAGATAATGCCAAAGAAAAGGAACAACAAGTAATTGTACGCTTTATGAAGCAATAGAAGAGTAACAAAAATCAAGTTCTCTCCCCCCCCCCCCCCCCCCCTCCCAGCATTTGTTAAGGCTGCTGTAGTAGAAAATTAGCACAATTATTAATCAAGCACATCGGGGGAAATCATCCTCAGATGTTTAACGGTGTCGTTAAATGATAAACTATGAAATCTACGAGTTGATAACATTTAGGCCTAACATTATTTTGTTGCAAAATGCTACATTTTTGTATCATTGTGCTATTACGATATTATAGGCCTACAATTTATTATCAGAGTCTTTTCTCTCTTCTTTTTATCAAGGCCATATTATTTAAATTTCAGTTTCTTATGGATACTTCTGTTTGAATTCTACATAAATTGTGTAAGGATGGATGATAGGGAGGTCATTCCGTCGCTGACCAAAGAATTGGTAGTTACTAAATTCTCGGGAGATGTAGTCCCCCCCCCCCCCCCGAAAGAAAGAAACATTCGTCTCAAAATGAACGAATCACTTCTACCTTTCCTTTCTCCTTCTCTTGTTTAATAGCTTTGTGTGGTTCTTATAACATGTCTGTAGCATACAGTTTGTGAGTTTTGCGGTATAAGTGTATGCTGGGGGGGGGAGAGAAATATATAGGAAAGGAATAATTACATATGAATGTTATCATTGTATTCTTCATCATTACTATATATCGTTTTTGTTCATATATTTTTTATTTGGGGTGAGATGCACATTTATTTTTGTAAATTTATGTTTAAAAAGGTAAATTCCATGGTTGAGTATTCCTTTATATGTGGAATTTATATTCATTGTATTCATTTCGTTTTTATCGTGGTATTTTGATGCATTATATATTTTGAATAAAACACTATTTGAATTTTAAAAAAAAATCTAGATTTGTATTTACAATTTTTCCGTAATCGTTCACTTTGTAAAAGCAAGGCGTCACAGCTTCCTGCTGCACTGGATGATGATTGGTCAAATAGGCAGTGGCATATCCAGGACCCTTTTGAGGGGGGCGGTGGGAAAGGGCACGTGACTCTGAACATTCACTGACAAACACGTAATATAACAATACACAGAACAAATCAAAGCTTAGTTATCATAATCATTAAATCATTTAGTATCTTTTTTATGGGGAGGGGAGATGGTATGATCTAAATTTAGTGCTGCCACAATGCATGGAGGGGAGAGAGGGAAGCATTTTCTTTTCGCACCCCCCCCCCCCCCTTTAGCGATGCCCCTGCTCTCAACTCGTCTCCAAAAACTGCTTTTACCAAAGACTAAGTACTGCATTTCTATAACATTTTATAGAAAAAAGTTTTTAGAACAATAACATCAACATTCCATTCGGCGTTTAAAAAACAGATGTTGTATTGCCCTTTGCGACTGACCCAAAACGTTGAAATGTACGGTCGGCTTTTTAAACAAGTTTTAATTTTTTTACCGTTTTTTTTTAGAAAAAAATATATCAAAGCATTCGAAACTGAAAAATAGCAGACCAAAGAGGGAGACACAAAAAAAAAATCCGACCGACCGACCCATGTTTTGACACTTAAAGGGCAACACAACATGTTTTGTTTAGGCCTTAGGAAACATCCTTTTGACATGTTTGCACATTATGATCCGAAGCATAAAAGCCAGAACTAATGAAGACAAAGGTAACCAAGTGACGCAAATTGCAATATTCTTTTGTTGTTCATTTTATTTACACGAATCTGCGTTTTGATGCCATAGTATTGAATCATCATATCAAATATATCAATATAGCTTGGCTTACATAAATATATATGACTCAAATGTACAAAATATATACAAATACCTTTATAAGGTTTATAAGGTATAAAACACGGAAATTCTAACTTCTTATATTTGGATAATCAAATAGTTATAGGATAAAACTTGTCCATCTAATGACAAGACTCATCGCAAAACTAACATTTCACATTCATTAACATGATTAAAGGAACTTGTCACATACAGGACAGAATAAACTAATCATGAAAACGAGTATCTTCTGTGTTGAAACGGAAAACACTTATCCCGAGGTCACCCTTTTACTTGTGGGATGTTTTTTAATACTGAATAAAGATATAGAAACGACGTCCATTTTCCAATTCCCTTTACTGTGAAATATGAATCTCTAAACGCATATTGGAATAGAGAAGAGAATGTTCAAACAAAAGCGTATACTTGTTTTCTGTCAGCTTCGTGTTTAGTAGTATGAAAGAAAGTTAATTGAATTTCCTATCCGGATTTTTGTTTCACGATTCATGTGTAGATTGGAAGTTGGGAGGACTTAAACGTAGTCTTAAGATGTGCTTAGAACATGACAACAAAGTGGGCCTGTATCAGGGAAATCCATTGGGGATAGTATTAAAGCTCTCTGCAAATCGGGATTTTATCCAACCGATCAAAATATGTATTTAAAAAATAATTTATTTCTTTTTTAACGTACTTTAAATTGGTGATTTTAAATCAGCGTTTCTTAGTTAACAAATACTGGTAACTAAACAATCGTACCAAAAATTTTACTAAAATACCTATTAATGCTTTTTAAAGTAAACGATATGTGTCGCCAATCCATGTTTCTCTGGGGAAGTAGAGATAAAAAGAATTTGTTCAAAATTTATATGAGTTTATAACAAATTGTTTTAAGTGATGAAATAAATTCTTTAGCCTCTTAGGATATTTTACCATTTTTTATTAGTTGTGCAAGAGTCTAGCAAACTAGATCATCTCAGAAAATTCCTCGGTATTCGGTTTTCAACTTAAATTCATATATCCTATTCTTTTTTTCTATACAAGTCTATTGTCACAATCCATCGACTTTCTACTAGGTAATAGTCTTATTCAGACGGCATTTTGCTAGTCGGCGTAAGTCAACCCCTGCAGCAGTAGATACCTCATGTATATTTCACTTAAGGCCCGGTCACACAGCCCTCCGGCGGGCGTATCGCGGCCGAATCACGGCCAAAAATTTCTGCCCGTGAAGCAGACGCTGTTGGACGCTTTGAGGTCGCGATAAAGACGCGATACAGCCGTACTTTACCCGTCGTTACACGCGGTAAGAAATTCACACGCGGTTGGCCGCGCGAAAAAGTTTTGGGCTGCCCAAAAATTTAGACCGCGGGTAATCGCGGGCGGTACACGTGGTACACACGCGGTAAAGACGCGGTACAGACGCGGAACGAACGTGCTAGGACGTGCTACGGCCGCGGTTAAGACGTGGTTACACGCGGAATTGGACGCGAAATTTTAGCGGGTAATCGCGGGTGGAGCACGGTCATAGCACGTTTGTTCCGCGTCTGTACCGCGTTGTTATCACGTGCATTAGCGTGTGTACCGCGTGTAAGCGTGGTAGGCCGCGGTACCGCCGCGCTTCACCCGCGATAAGGACGCGGAACAGTCGCCGGCGTCTGTTCCGCGGGCATACCACGGGTAAACCGCGGGTAAGCCAATTTTGCACATTTTTCCACCACGGGCAACCGCGGGCAAAAAAAAATCGCGAAATTTTACCCGCGATACAGACGCGAAAGGCTGTGTGACCGGGCCTTAAGACCATTAGTTGTCCGCACGCTCTTACTCGGACCAACTTGCCACGATTAAGTTATCACGACCTTCCACCGACCAGCGTTGGACGCAATATGTCGACTACTGCTTTGTTGGGCAAGCACAAAACAAAAGAATATACGCCATGATGTGACCCAGTGAAACCAAGTTGGCCAAACTCTGTGTATAGATGGCTCGTGAAAGGTCACGGATACTCCCGGGTGTGAGTGAGAGCATCCACACGGTTAACTTACGCTAACCTCCAGTCGTGTTAGCGGATTACTCCTGGAAAAATCCGGGAGTAAATAGGTCGGGGTAAAGGTAGGCGTAGCTAACACGATCATCGTTCAGACGGTCACCTTTACACTTACCTCACTATATTTATCCCGACTAGCTCTTAACACCGACCTTTACCCCAGGGTTACTTGCCTCCGTCTGAACAAGACTAATACCTTTTCTAAGTTTTCTTTTTAACGTGTCAACAGATTAAGATTTCGCGAAATGACTCTTCTTGATTAGTGACTCGAATTCACATGAATGTTTTGCCTGTTCAATTTCAATTAGAAAGTACATGTATATCTCGTGCCCTCACCCCGTGTTCTGTGTGCATGATCGTTTTGTTTTAATACGAAAAACCGCTCATTTCATGTATGGTATTTTGGACATTAAAAAGAATCTTCATCAGTCTAGCAATCGATATGAAATTGCTTTATAAACCTCTGTCGATGTATTTTCTCTTACGTTTTTAATCTGTGTTAACAATAAGATCATCACATCATTTCAAGTGGACTTTTACATAAAATAATACATTTATATAGCGCAGCTTTTAACCAAAATATATTCAGCTGCGCTGGTTCAGAGCTTGTTTTTACAAAGTTCCACAAAATAGGATCTCTCAATGGAACACATTTTTTTAATTTGGATTTGAGGACATTGAGAGATGGAGTGCTTCGTATTTCTATTGACAAGCTATTCCATAGTTTGGGGGCAGCAATAGCAAAAGCACGGTCCCCAAGAGTTACTTTAGTTTTGCCATGGGGAATCTGGAACAATAATTTATTTGTGGAACAGCGCAGGCTACGACTATGTGACTGGATTTTGAGTTGAAGTAATTACGTTATGTAACTAGGAGCTTGACCACTCAATGATTTATAAACAATTAACAACATTTTGAATGAAATTCTTTGACGGACATAAAGAAGACATGTACATAAATTAGATACCCTGTTCCAAAAAAAACTAAAAGTCCAAATTAAATTACTTAATGATGGCATACAATATATGTAATAGCATCAATCCATTTTCAAAAATAAAGTACATCAAATCAATTGATGTCAATGCTAGGAGATTAAACAGCAATTCCTCAACTGCACATCACCAGTCTTTAGTATGTTGCTTTTAAAGATTTCTGTGTATCTATAAGTTCCAATACAAAGGGCATTTATTGATTCTGGCGTTTACATTGAGGGAGTGATCTGGTCTGATCTATCAATGTATTTGAGGATGATTTGATTTAACCGATGATTGTAGAACGGAATTCAGGGGACTTGTAACTTTGAATCCTCTTCTAGGGACTTGGCAGTTGAAGATCCATGCATTTATTAGCAAAAGACGCAACGGCACCAAATTGTTTTCGGACCCGTGGCCTTGCAGTTACGAGACCATTGCTCCACCAGTGAGACACCGTGCATTGTTGGGTTGGTCCTTCCAACCATATCTACAATCAGCAAAAAGTATGCGTTTCTTTACACCAATCCCAGAGTAGTTGCAATTGCGGTTGAGTTTATGTCCAGTGGGATGGGAACCAGTTCACAGCCCCCGGGAACGACGTTTTGCAGGAATCCCATGAGACCTGAACTAAGCATCATGGTAGCCGGAAGGGTCACCACCCAGGCAAAGAAGATCCCTGAGAACAGAGGCCAGTCAACGGCCTTACGCGTCCTCAGCCAGCCCACGCCACAGACGGAGCCAACTTGACAATGGGTGGTGGAGATAGGGATGCCTAGGTTGGATGCTAAGAGTACCGTGGAGGCAGACCCAAGCTCGACACAGAATCCACTGAAAGGAGAATGTGATGAGAGATGTACATCGAAGATAAGCGTGTAGAAATACACTTTACAGCTACCTCTTCTGCACACATATTCAATTTAACTGTCAACAGACACAAATCTGATGATGTTGAAAAGATCTCACATCTCTCTCTCTCTCTCTCTCTCTTTTCCACATCTTACACAATCACAAGGAGAGAAAACGAATTAAAAAAAAAATATCACGACCTCTGTTACTATATTTTATCACTTTATAGCTTTAAGATTTGGATCCCCCGCTCGATATTTTCTTGACAACGTCATCGGCCATCATCATTAAAACCATCACATTGCCGGCGTATTCTTCAAAATGTCAATTCTTTCCTATATTCTTTGCGACCATCTTTGATCAACTTACCTGGACGGGGTCATTGGGGTGAGATCTTCTCCGATTGTCTTGATAACGCGACGGCCGAATAGGAAGAGACTCAGTGAGATGCCTGCACCTCCGTAGAGTAGGATCCAGATAGGGGTAAGGGTCTCCTGGTCTACAGAACCGGTGGTAAAGATGGTCCAGATACTGATCAGGGGACCAATGACGTTGCTGTAAGTATATTTTAAACAAATGATGATTAAGTCGTTTTAGTGATTATACATGGTGGAGAGAGAGAAAAAGAAAATGATAATAAAATCGTTTAATAGAAACTACGGATGGCGGAAAGACACGGGTGGTAAACAAGAGAACATTAGACAAATGGAAGATGCAAGCTAGGAAGAGAGCCTTAACAGCTCTTAGAGGAGTAACTAGAAAGGATATGATGATTACGAGGGACGGAAGGAAGAAAGACTGGCAAAGCATAGAGCGAATTTAAGTCTCATGATATTCTCGACAATTTGATGTGTATAATCGATTTTTCTTTTCTTTTTTCCATGTTTTTTTCCCTCGTAGTTATTTAGATTTCCTTTATATTTGTTTGGCACTGGTATAGCGGTGATATGTATTTGTTTTTAACTATGTGCATTGACTAATTGAAAGGCAGTCTGTTACGACTGATAGTGAGTTAATACTTCATTGCAGTGATTTGATAAATACAATACATACATACATACAAAGGAGTTGATGAGATTGGCTGCAAAGCCAAGGAAGAAAGAAGAAGAAAGGGAAGCTGTCCAAAGAGAAGGATGGATAGATTGGGTCAATTAATATGGAGAATAACATGTGATACGAAGTTTGTGGAACTTTGATATTCGGTCATTACTAGATACTAGGGACATCACAGTAAACCTGAAACCACGGGACCGAATGCCTACACGACCCAAGCACACGAGATCGGAAATAATGGTCTCGGTCTCGCGAACTTTTAGAAAAAACAACGCAAGATATATCATTATCGTGAGCTGTCGCACTCGGCCGTAAACACAGATATTGTCAGTCTTGTGAGTTGTATCCGCAATCAAGGCTACATCTAACTAAATCGCAGCCTACCTGACATCATTTCCTCCGTGTGAGAAAGCGGCAAAGCAGGCGGATACCACCTGTAACGGAGAGCAGATAGTTTGAACCTCTGTCGTGTCTTAGACGGAGTCTTATTCCTTAGATCCCTTCTTAACCAGCCATTTATCAGAGTTACCCTCGCCTTCGTCATTTACAGTCATCTCGACCATTATTGCTCTGTCGTAATCTGGCACAGCTGTGAATACAAATTGGGATTGATATAGCGCTTATTAGATACGGAATACCATCTCTAAGCGCTTTACAAATATTAATACCCCGGTCATCGGATTTATTCACGCACAGTGTGCACCATCTTCACTCCCTGGGGAGTATTCATACTATATGGTCAACGTGAGGGCATAGGCAAATACTAACACAAATGCTTTCGTCCTTCTATCGGGTCCCCATTCAAATTTCAAGTCAAGAGCTTAAACCACTCGACTACGAGTCACCATTACTTAATACGAATCTATACAATAGTAATAATGATGATAATAATAATAATGATAATAACTGGATTTATATAGCGCCTTTTCCAGAGGATACAAGCCAATACTAGTACGTAATGCACCACGTAAGGTGAAGATCTTTTTTTTTTATGTACGTGTAAATGAAAGGCAAATTCGTGCAACACAGCCCATACACGTATTTATATTAACTGAACTCTTGTATTAGATTATTATACAGGAATATGAAACGTATTAAACTCTTAAGTCATCATAAAAAATACACCTTGAATTCAGTACTTCAAAACTGAGCAAGGCTTAAGAATTTAGACCCCTAAATCTTAGATATATTTGTATTATTCTTACCTCCGTTGCCCATTCCGTTGCCCATGCCATTAGTCATCGGGGGTTCGGGAACCAAAATGGCGTCTGGATCGTCAGGGTTTTCTTCTCTAGTGAGGTGGCATCACCAGCGTTGAGGCCATTGGGTAAACCTAATAGTTAAAAGTAGAGAAGGATGTCAATATTGCAGGTGAACAGCTCTTACATTAATATAATATTATCTTACACCGTAAGAAGAAGGAAAAAAGGGGGAACAATTAAATATCAATATCTCACCTTTTAATTCAGTCTCTTGTTCTTGATCAATCTGTGTGTGTCCTTCCTCTGCCTTTTCTAGTTTCTCCTGTTTTTTAAATTCTACAAAAAAAATGATAGAACGATCATAAAGTCTTTATTTTTGTATTTTTATTTGTTTATCAATTAATAAACTGATTGATTAAACCCCCTTATACCCCCTTCACATGCACGGATATTCCTAACGAGTCCTTACGGATCGCAAACTCGTAGTCAATCGCAAGCATCCGTAAATAACTCGCTGGTATCTGTAAATAGCTCGTCACAACTCCCAACAACTCGCAGATACTCGTAAGGATCCGTGAGAGGAGAGGCAAATTTTTTGACATGTCAAAAATCTTCTTACGATTGTCCACGGATTTATTTGTCCGTACAAGGCGTACATAACTCGCAAATAGGTCGTAACAATCCGTAAGTATCGTAAACTGCTCGCATCAACACGTTACCATCCGTAAACTGCTCGCAAGAATATGTAAATGCCTCGTAAAGATTTCTCTAACGATTTGTTTCGGTTGGTGTACGATTTGTTTACGGATTATTAACAGATTACTTTATTACGAGTACTTACGTAATGTTTACGATTTCATTCAAGTCGTGTTACAATGGCTTTACGGATTGTTACGAGTTATTGCGAGCACTTTACGTGTAGTTAGGAGTACTTTACACATAATATACGTATACTCTAAGTATTCTTGCGTATCGTTTATGTTTTGGGGGAAAGGTATAAAAGCTGCAAATTGAACACTTCATTTTCAGTTGATATTTTTTGTTAAAATCGTAAGGACTCATAAATACTCGTAACTAACTCGTAACTATTCGTAACAATCGTTAACGGGTCGTTATTAACACGTAATTTGCTTGTAGTTATCCGTGACAGCTCGTAACAAATCATGGAATTCTGCCGTAAGTTTATCGTAATAACTCGTAATAATCTGTAACAAACCGTAAATAGCTCGTAATAACTTAAAAACAACTCTTAAAATCGACCGTAAAAGTGGCCAAATCGTAAGGATCCGTGAAAGATCCGTGAATTTGTGCGATCCGTAAGGACTCGTAAGAAAAATCTGTGTATGTGAAGGGGGTATAAACATACACAGATTTTTCTTACGAGTCCTTACGGATCGCCAACTCGTAGTCAATCGCAAGCATCCGTAAATAACTCGCTGGTATCCGTAAATAAATCGTCACAACTTGCAACAACTCGTAGACACTCTTAAGGATCCGTGAAAGGAGAGGCAAATTTGTTGACATGTCTAAAATCTTCTTACGATTGTCCACAGATTGATTTGTCCATAAATAGCTCGTAACAATCCGTTACCATCCGTAAATCGCTCGCAACAACACGTAACCATCCATAAACTGCTCGCAAGAATCCGTAAATTACTCGTAACAGATTTTTGTAACGTTTCTTTACGGTTAGTTTATGATTTGTTTACGGATTATTTACGGATTATTACGTGTGCTTACATGTGTTGACAATTTCATTCGGGTCATTTTACGTGGCTTTACAGATTGTTACGGGTTATTACGAGCACGTTACGTGTAGTTACGAGTACTTATCATACAGATACGTATACTTTACGTTTGCTTACGAACTGTTTACGATTTGGGTTAGGTATAAAAGCTGCAAATTCGAACACTTCATTTTCAGTTGTAATTTTTTGGCTAAAAATCGTAAGGACTCCAAAATACTCGTAACTTACGCGTAACTATTCGTAACGACACGTAAACAGGTCGTAACTAACACGTTAGTTGCACGTAGTTATCCGAGACAACTCGTAACAAATCGTAAACAGCTCGTAATAACTCTTAAACCGGTTGTAAAAGTGGCCAAATCGTAAGGATCCGTGAAAGATCCGTGAATTTATGCGATCCGAAAGGACTCGTAAGAAAAATCTGTGTATGTGAAGGGGGTAATAATTGACTGATTATTCATTAGATTAATTGAATATTTTTTAAATTTAATTGTTTAAGTGTAAGTTAGAGGGAAACATGGCACAACGAAAAAATCTCCGCGGCAGGGGGGGGGGGGGGGGTTGGGGGGGGGGGTTAACCCCCCCCTTTGGTATTTATTATGTGTGTATTTTGGAGGACCCCCCCCCCCCTTTGGTAATCTTTTTTTTCTTTTTTTTTACCCCCCCCCCCCCCCCCCCCGCTTATTCAGCGGCTGGCTGAGTCGTTGCGATTTTTTTTTAGACCAAAAAAAAAAAGTGTCCTCTTACCCTTACTCTTACTCTTATTTGACTCGGTCTGGCAGGAAGGTCTGTGGAAAGCAATGAACTTCTTCATCAAAATATATACACCTACTTCAAGCACTCTACCAATACCAACAATCAAACAGTGCAGTCAGAGTGAAACGTGAACTGACCGACTGGTTAAAACCACAGATGGGGTAAGCCAAGGATGTGCTCTGTCCCCGCAACTTTTTAACATCCTATTCGAAGCTGTGATGCTTTACACATAACATGACACAAAGATTGGCGTAAGAGTACAGGGACAGCTGATCAACAACCTAAGATTTGCTGATGACATTGTCCTTATAGCTGACAATGACAGAGACCTCCAAGCAATAGTTGACCTAGTACATCAGAGCAGTTCAAACTTTAGACTGAAAATAAACATTACCAAAACAGAAGTACAAGCCATAAGCAAACAGCCTCAACTATTGGATATAAACCTGGGAGGAACAATAAGCCAGACAGGATCCTGCTCGGAAGAGGTAAAGCACCGCATTGGGAAGGCAATAGGAGCACTCCAAGAACTCAAGAAAATCTGGGCATCCAAAGATATACGCTGCTCAACAAAGGTAGAACTGTACAAAGTCCTGGTGTCTTCTATTCTGTTATATGGTGCATAAACATAGACATTAAAGAAGGTCGATGAAAATAGACTTCACACTTTTGAGATGGCATGCCTCAGGAGAATCATGGGTGTGACGAGATTTGACAGGCTAAGGAACACACACATACGAACACAACTGAACATGGAAGAAACCATCATCGACAGGGTTGACACAAAAAGATTTAGATACTTTGGACATATCAACAGAATGAATTAAAAAAGATACCCCCACATCCTTCTCAACGGAAATGTACATGGCAAACGCCCAAGGGGAAGACCAGCCAACAACAGACAAGTTGACTCCCTGACTAAAGCCACTAGGCTAACAGAAGACAGGAAGGTGCATGTGGCAAACCATAGTGAAACAGAAGCCATCATACATCCCAGTGATGGTGTGGGCGGCTTAAGTCAAGTAAGTCACCTCTTGTAATTTACAATGTTTGTGACTAAGCCAGCGCCTTGTATCTGCTTTATGAAAATGCGCTATAAAATAATTGTTTTGCATTATTATTATTTGTTATTAGTAGTATTTGTATTATCATTATTGATATTATAATTATTATAATTATCATTATTAGTATTAATGATAGGAATGGGTTTGGAGCCTCCAGTCGCACATCTTTGTCCACAGAAACAAGCTTAGGGCACACAAAACGCCTACAGTTACTCTAGCTATTTTGAAAATGTACTTGTGTGTCTGAACAAGGCCTTCAACGGCCCCCCTTTTGCGCAATAAACTGTCAATGACAATGTTTGTTTGTTTTTTTAGAATGTGACGCATTTCACTCTTTTTTTTTTTCTTTTTTTTTTGTGGTTACTATTGGTTAATTCGTACTCTTCATAAATCTGATAAATCTTCATAATCTTTTCTTTTCTTTTTCTTCTTCTTCTTTCCAGTTTTCCACTGGTCCTAGAAAACCCTTTCCTGCCAGATCGGCGCGGTGCGTTGAGCAATCTTCTCGGCCACCATTGCTCTAGGCAACTCTGGTGGCGGTGAGAGGATTCTGGGGTAGATCCCAGAATATGTGTGAACACTTCATTGAACCTTTGTCCTGGCACCGAAAAGATATCAATCCATGTAAACATCGCATGTATGTTTGAACACAGCCTTGAACTTTCATCTTTGAGCAATGACTTTGAAATAACAATGGACATACTTTGCACTTTATACTGTGCAAAGATATACTTTTCACGTGATTGTCAAAGCCGCCCCGAGTATTAGGCAATATATATTTCATCTAGCCTCATTTTTACTGAGTGGTTGTTCCCTAACAGATGATTGTGATACGCTACGTAGTGTGCTTTTGGTAAGTGATTTATTTTGCCGAATTATGCTTACATTATGACACAATTTGAATAACATGTCTGTGGGATAGGATTGAAGAATTATTAGTGTGCGGGGTATTGTGAATGGAAATTGGAAAGCGGACGTGTTCACTGATCAAACAACATAACTCTGTTTTTAATTTAACTACGAGGAAACATTGCACTGGCAATAAAATACATGATAAACTGTATTCCCTTTTCGTTATTTTATTGGGTACTGATGTTGCAGACAAAACACTTGCAAAGTGTAGTCATGCAAGCAAATAAATGATTCAGAATGAGAATCATATGAATGAGGATCGTGGATATTGCACGGAGTATAAATAGTCATGTACTGAGATGGACATGAATAAATGCAGGGAATGAATAGAGCTTACGACAATGGTAGAAATGACGTCGAAAGTCCATGAAGATGATGACGGATGAAACGAAGAAAGGGGCTCACGCGATGATCGTGCGGAGGCTTAATGGTGGAAACGCGACTTCGTTGACGTGGCTGAAGAGCCGAGAAGAACGCGATGTCGATGCCGACGCTCGTGATGATGATGAATGTAGCGCTCGGGCAAGAAGAGAAGAGAAGAAATGTGGCGCTCGACGACGAGGCAGTGAGTCGCTCGATGTCGGAGGCCCAGGTTGAAATGTAGACATCAAAGCTGGTATAGTGGTGGTCGTGAAGAGCAGTGAGTCGCTCGATGCTGGATCGATGAGCCGGATTTGCAGTGAAATCATCAGAGTTGCAGTGAGATGGACTCGTTGATGAAAGATCAGGCGAGCTACAGAGAATCGAGCTCGTGTGTGAAAAGAGCTACCGGAAGTCCGGAACGAAGAAAATGGCAGCTCCCAGCGGAGAATCAGGTGCCATGTCGGGCCCTGATTTAAACGTTCCACTGCAAGACTGCCTGTCCTTTGAAGACGGCAGAGAAAGAGTTGATGTGCCATACAAGAGGTGATAGGCACGGAAGAGAATTCTCCAAATGAAAATGAAGGAGGTTAAAATTGAAGATGGATTTGCTCCTTGTGTATGCATGAAGCAAATTGTGGTAGAGGTGACATTCTCAAATCGACGTGTTGCTTCGATGAAGAACATTGAGAAGTGTAGTAGTGAAGAAAGTTAGAGAGAAGATGTTGTTTTCATCCTTCTTGGGAGGCAGGATAAAACAAAGAGGGTACTATATACCAATTCTGGGAAGGGAGAGTGAGTCACTGGTGATTACCAGGTACAGGGACATTGAAGCCATTATGCTGACACTTGTTGACACAATAGGGTGGCAGTGCCTGGCATAATGTCAGAGGGCAATGTCCTCCCAAATTGGGTTTGTAAAGTAACAAATGAAATTGAGACATAAAGAAAGATGAAATGAGGGAAATACTACAGGATCATAGGGGGGTAACTAATAACTCGTGTGGACAAGAGTCATCATACAGCATTGTCGCTTGAAAGAGCAATCATACCAGGGATATGAGAGTTAAACTCTCATATCCATGATCATACCAAAAAAAATCAGTTATATTGTGAGGTTTAGATCTGCGAGGCGAGGGTTACTGTGATTGCTTGCTATCGTCACCCCCCCCCCCCCCCCCCTGTGCAGCGATGCATGACGGTAACGCCAAACTAATAAACTATGATTATCATCCTCCTCACCATCATAATCAGGTACCACTTTTGGGGTATAACATGATTGGAGATTCCTTTGCGGTCATTATGGTCCCAATTATGGAGCAGAGTTTGTGTTCATTCATGCGTGAATAGGGCTTCAAAAGGAAAGGTAAAATATGTTTTGAGGCCATAACGTTTCGATAACCCCGTCACTTATATTAAAAATTGTTATTGCCAAGTTTCATGGGGCTAGCTATAATAGTTATCAAGTCCCGAGTTTTAAATATTTTGCGCATTTTTCAAAAAACGTCTTCGGCGCTATTTATGAAGTTCGCTCTGCATAAACCTATTTAAATTCATTTTTTATTGTTTTATAAAGCGAATATCTTGACCTTATTGCTTTTTAAAAAGGTACCGATCGGCTACAGGATTATTGAGTTTTAAAACATTAAAAAATATAATTTTTTCGAAAATTGAGAGGGCGCTATTTAAAAATGTAAGCAATATTGACGTTTATTGTTGGCCTCTCCCTCTCTGTACCACTCTACATGTGCTCTTTTCTACCCCTTCTCTTTACCTACACCCTCTTTCTACCACCTCTCTCTCTCTCTTTCTCCTACCCCACTCCCTCTCTCTTACACACACACTCTCTCTCTCTCTCTCTCTCTGTACCACTCTACATGTGCTCTTTTCTACCCCTTCTCTTTCTCTCTTTCTCTATACCCCTTTACCTACACCCTCTTTCTACCACCTTCTCTTTCTCTTTCTCCTACCCCCACTCCCTCTCTCTAACACACACACACTCTCTCTCTCTCTCTGTACCACTCTATATGTGCCCCCTTTCTACCCCTTCTCTTTCTCTCTCTCTCTCTCTTTATCCCTCCACCTACACCCTCTTTCTACCACCTTCTCTCTCTCTCTCTCTCTCTCGATCTTTCTTTCTCCTACTTCACTCCATCTCAAAACCTTCTCTCTCTCTCTCTCTCTCTCACTCTGTACCCCTATACCAACGCCCTCTTTCTACCCCTTCTTTATCCCTCCCTCTCTTTTCTTGATCATTTTCTTTATTTTCTTTTACAGATTAACGAACAAGAACACGTAGTACTTGATTGTAAAGTTGTGAAGGGAGACAGAGCAAACCAAGCCATGGCAACCTCATCGAACCCAGCTCGTATCATGTTGTGGAGCACGCCGCGATCGGTGTCGACTGCGTTCGCGAGATCAATGACGGCTCGAGGAGACACCGAAATGTTTTGGGAACCGTATCTGGCTTGCTACTCATTCGGTCCAGATAGGGAGATTCACTGGGGGGATGACTTGCCTAGTATGTTATTTATGAATAAAATTACCCAATGAGTGTTCCAGTTTAATTTCTGACAAGTTTACCTTTTCAATTATGACAAAAGCCTCTTGTTTTTCCTGAGAAATTCCCATAGGTAGCCCTTTCAACCCTAACAGTGCTCATTTTCAACTTTGTGAAGTTTCCCCTTTTCCGTAAATAATTGTTTCTTTTCCCTATTCCCCTTTGATGATTGCTATTTTCTTCTATTACGATTGCCCCTTTTCAAAAAGTTAGTGCCTCGTTTCACTTTTGATAAGTGCCGCTTTTCCTTTCTGGCCATATTCGCCTTTGATAAGTGCCCAATTTCATTACAACTGCCGATGTTGATACTTTTGATGAGTGTCCCCCTTTCTTTATCATAAGTTTATGGAATACGGAAATCCTTTAATGCAAAGTGTGTACCACAATATGTAAACCAGCCATATGGGTCTGTGTGATTTTGGAATACCTTGACTAATATAAGTACGGAACAATACTAGGCCAATATACTTGTTTACTACCGTTTTAAATTCATGCGTGTTTCTATCCCAACCCCTAGTTACCAACAATTTCATTCACCTGCTATGCATAATGATAGCTAGCCTTTTGACAAGGCCTCGTGACTCTGGCTAAGCGGCTGAGATGAGTTTAGATACCCGGAGTGAACGCGCGACCGAGTGACGAATGTCACGAGGCCTTTTGGAAAGTAGGTTTCACTGCTCTGCATGAATTATTCATAGATACATATTAGCATGCCAATACGCCTACTTTGGATTTATTGACCAATCATAACGGCGATCTCCCAGTTGGCTTCGTTCGTGATTCGTTCCATGTAGATAGTTCATAGTAGGTCCATGTTCGTACTACGTAGAGTTTACTGTGTGAGTGCGTGTGTGTGTGTGTGTGTGTGTGCGTGCGTGTCTGTGTGTGTGATGGATACTATATGCTGACGTCGTGCGAGGATACGTTCGCTGATTGGACGCTCCTTTTTCTAAAGCGATTTCCAGTCGGAAACAATGGTTAACATAAGAAATCCAAACCAGATTGATAAAGGCTACTTGTATTGGAAGGGCTTCTCGCTCGATCTCTCGTTCACTCGGGTTTTCGCGATTAGTCTCGTTTTAGTCGCTCGGCGTCTATCAGACAAGTGGCCAAGTTGTTTAAAGGCTAAATGATAGCTGGAATCCGCTTTGTAAACATAAGTTGTTGCTATGTAGAGAAAACTATTAATTTGTCAAGAAAAACTTTTGTTTAAAAACATGCGTACAATTAGTACATAGGTCTATTTAATGTTATGCCAGTTGCACAAGTGACGTCATTTTGATTTCACAAATCAATCCCTGGAATGTTTAAAGACAATGGAGGCCTCTTAAGTTTGCACTTATATTTAAAGACAATGGAGGCCTCTTAACTTTGCACTTATATATAAAGACAATGGAGGCCTCTTAACTTTGCACTTATATATAAAGACAATGGCCGGAGGCCTCTTAACTTTGCACTTATATTTAAAGACAATGGCCGGAGGCCTCTTAACTTTGCACTTATATTTAAAGACAATGGAGGCCTCTTAACTTTGCACTTATATTTAAAGACAATGGAGGCCTTTTAACTTTGCACTTATATTTAAAGACAATGGAGGCCTTTTAACTTTGCACTTATATTTAAAGACAATGGAGGCCTCTTAACTTTACACTTATATTTAAAGACAATGTCACCTTCACATGGCGAGCCAAAGATCGCACTAGTTGCTGACGTGTCCCTACGTCAGGCTCAGGATACGCCATTTTATCTCGTGAATATGCGTCAGCGGCTTGCATGGTTTTTAAAGTGCATTGTGAGAGTGATTACGCAAAAAAAAAAAGAATGCGAACATTTCGGCGAAATACTGGCAATTGCACTCATTGCCTTAACAGGCTTGGCTAATGTCTATGAAATATGATAACTACGGCTCGTGTGCAACAAAATGGTATTTTTTTGCCTGTTTTGGTGGGTTTCATTTAGGTTGATTGTAAAGCTATGTACTTAATATTAAACTCTCACTTTCCATCTTCAGATATGCTGAATGACAAGTACACATACAGTTACATCAAGGAACTTCTGAACGCTGACTATCCTGGAGCAAAAGTTCTTTTTGTCAAAGGTATGGTAGAAGGCATCCGAGGTCATTTTGACGTCGTCGAGCGCACTTACAAGCATTCATTCCTCATCCGCCATCCTAAGAAGTCATTCCGTTCTCTTGCTCGCTTAGAAAGCGATCTCAATCCTTTAACGTCCGACTTCAATCTCCGCACGTTCAAGGAAATCTATCACGATTTAGAGAGGTTCTATCATCACGTCGAGACGGAATTCGGTCAGTCAGCGCCTACGATCATTGACGCAGATGACCTTGTGACGCAACCGGAGAAGATCTTGCCGAAATACTGCGAAGCTATGGGTATCGACTTCAAACCTAAGATGCTAAATTGGGAGAGCGTCAACGCCGATCAACTGAACTGGCACTGTACAGACGTAGGGGATATCGCCAATTCGTCTGTGAAAGATAGCATTGTCCTATCAAATGCCCTAAAAGGCAGTGGGTTTGGCAAAGCTCCAGATCCGACCAAAGAATCTTCGTCTACGGCGTTGGTTAAACAGTGCGCAGAGCATGCATTACCCGCCTATGAAAGATTGTATGCTCTGCGTATTCGACCATAATCATCAACACTTACAATACGAGTTTTACACGAGGCGTCGATCAGCGCTGCGTCAGAGAGTGGTGCGGCCTTTGACACGTCATGTTTGTGTGATGGGGTGTACAAAGTGAATGTAAAATGAGCACACTAAACATTGCGTTGAATTACAGTCGCATGCGTTAGTTAATTGCCTGCATAGGGTTGATTGGAGTTGGTAATAGGGACTTTAAGATTTGCACGACGGAGAACGTGGACTGCCCTTTTAAGACAATGTGACGTCACTTCCAGTGCCTTAAAATGACGTCACATTGCCTTAAAAGGGCAGTCCACGTTCTCCGTTGTTTAAATCTAAAAGTCCCTAATACCTCAATCGTGATAACGGCTCGTGTAAATAAGCTCCAGCTTCTTCTTCTTCCTCCGATCTTTTTTCTTCTTCCCCATCTTCGACTCCTGCTTCTGCTGCTTCTGCTGCTTCCTCTGCCCCTTATTCTCTTTCTTCGTCTCATTCTTCTGCTACTACTTTCCCCTGTTCTACCTCTTCTCCTTCTTCTTCTCCTTCTTCGTTTGTCTTTTGTTGCGTCTTCTTGTAATCGGCCTGTGTCAATGCATTATGCGCTTAATTTGTAATTGTTGGCAAGACCCCCCCCCCCTTCTCTCGTCCCCCTTATTTACCTCTTGTCGCGCTCTCTCTTTCTTCTTTCTCTCTCTCCTTCCTCCATCTCTCTCTCTCTCTCTTTCCTCCATCTCTCTCTCTCTCTCCTTCCTCCATCTCTCTCTCTCTCTCTTTCCTCCATCTCTCTCTTTTCTCTCTCTCTCTCTCTCTCTCTCTCTCTCTCGTTTTCTCTCTTTCTCCATTTTTCTATCTTTCCTGCTCTTTCTTCACTATATCTCTCGGTCTCTTATCCTCTCTCTTTTTCTCACTTTCCTTCCCCCCCCCCCCTCTTCCTCTCTCTCTCTCTCTCTCTCTCTCCCTTTTAAACCTCTTTTTCTCTACATATTTTCCTTCTCTCTTCCTCAATTTGAATTCATATTTTGTATAGGTACATATTCACATTTTCCTTCTTGTTCGTATCTTTGCTTTTGTTTTACATTTGGTACAAAATCTAGGATAAAGTACTTATAATTATGTAAATGATACTGTTTTAAATTGTACACTCGTTTTTAAAATGCAATATATATCCATGTGCAATTCAGTACATGTAACTGCGATGCATGATTCAATAAATACCATACCATACCATTATGTAGATTTGTTATTGTTACGTCTTATTTTTTGTTATTTTAATAAATAAACGACTGATATGCAAAAATTGGTAAACACCTTTATTTGACATTCTTTAAATATTGTGTTTCTTGTTATTTATTGATTAAATTCTTCTAAACTCCTGATCTGCAAGACTACGTAAAAACTAGTTTTATTTAATTTTTAATCTGTTTCTATTCTGATTATTTGAATCAAAACGACTTAAATTTCTATTCCTTAAATTATATTATTAAATAAACGACTGATGTGGAAGACTAGGGGGTGGGGCTTTGGACGAATGGTCGCGTTCAAGTCAACGCGACGCTACCCATCCTTTCGGCATAAGCACAGCAAGACCACTTTAGGGGTATCGCGAGAAAGGTTGATTAAAAATCCTTTTTGAAATAAACGTCAATTTTTAAAAGACTAAACATTATAAATTGCTATATATTTCATATTGAATATACACATTTTAAACACAAGTGTCTTTTTTCTTAGCTCGCTCACAACATTTAGAAACCAGGTGATATCAGGCAGTATAAAGTGCCTGAATATCTCCATATTTGTGCAGCGAGGTGCCCGAATATCATCCCATTCGGTCAGCAATAAAGACGCGATAACAAAAACTTTCGGGAAACAAGTCAAGGGCAGTTTTCGATATACAGTGCGTCCCAGAAAAAACGAAACCGAGAACTATCGATGTTTTATCATAACTTAATCCCAATTATAATTAATAAATGACACATATTTGGAAAGCGTAGATCCCCTTCTTTTATTTGATGCAACTCATATGATGCATATTTCACGCATGAGTGATTAAAAGCAATTTGAAGAGAGGAAACCAAAAAGTCATTTGGCGGGCGGTATCTGAATTTTAAAGAAAAAATTACATTTCTAAAAAGATTTTTCTGCCCTTTCATTTGACACCTCAATCAGGAAAAATGAGCCAGGAATAACAAAGTTCTGTTTGTTTTAAGGAATGCTTGCATTTCCATAATTTGATGAAACGGGTTCGTTTTTACTGGCTGCCTGCCGTTGCAACGAATACAGTTGACAAAAGACTTAACTCCGTTTCGTTGACGATCAGCCATGCACAAAGAAGACGAAAGACCCGATTTAGTTTCCTGTTCTTGCTCCCTTCCCCTCTTTCTCTAAAGTTTGACAAAAGTTGATTTCTTCAAGTATTCATCTTATTTTGTCATGATTAATTGATTGATTTGTTAAGAGGGGGTACTTGGTACTTGGTTGGGTAATCCCTTTGGCAGCTCACTCAGAAAGCTATACCGGGATGGTAGGTGAGGCGAGTAACTTCAAGGAGTGTCATGGATTGCAGGAATGGTGTGCGGACAAAGCACTTGTTAATCTACAGTAAAATATGCTAAGTCCAGTGCAAGTAAAAAAAAAAAAAAAAAAAAAAAAAAACAAGCAAGTAAGCTTATATGATGTGGGAACCAACAGGGGGGGGGGGGGGGGGGGGGGGGAACCAATTAACTTCATTTATGACATAAATTTAGTTTTGGATTCATATGACAGACGGGGTCTATACGATTTAATAGATATGTGAGAATCAGTGGCTAGTAAGGGGAAATGGGCCAAAATGCAGTGCACATAAACAGTAAAACAAACATCAAAGGAGAAAATAGCGAGGAAGCTTAGCAAAGAAGTCAGCTTGTTTAGACTAATTTAGTAAGGTTACAATATGACGACTACACATTACAAATGGAGTTCCAGGGTATTTCATCTTCACCATCACCACCAGCGTCCCCATCAGCATCATTACCATCATCAGCATCATCATCACCACCATCATGGTCACCAGCATCACCACCATCATGATCATGATCATGAGCATCATGAGCATCATCCTCATCTTCACCATCACCACCAGCGTCCTCATCACCATCATCACCAGCAGCAGAATAAGCAGCTCACTATTACCATCATCACCACCATCATGATCATTGTCGTGATCATCATCATCATCGTTATCATCAGCATCATGATCATCATCATCATCACCACCATCATGATCATCACCATCATGATCATGATCATCACCACCATCATCATCATCATCACCATCATCGCTAGCAGCAGAATAAGCAGCTCACCATTACCATCATCACCACCATCATGATCACCATTACCACCATCATCATCACCATCATCATCACCACCATCATGATCATTGTCATCACCATCATGATCACCTTCATCATCATCATCATCATCATCACCACCTTCATGATCATCATCATCACTATCATCATCATCTTCATCATCATCATTATCACCATCATCATCACCACTACCATCATCATCATCATCATCATCCTCACCATCATGATCATGATCATCATCATCACCCTCATGATGATCATCATCACCATCATCACCACCATCATGATCATCACCATCATAATTGTAATCCCCCATTTAGATACCATCTCAAATGTCATCCAAATTAGCATGACCATTATTAGATTCCAACCACATACAATAAATCAATTTGACGTCTAATTAAATGTAATGCTTTGAAATAGTTTGTTTTTATTGTTATCTGGGAGGAAATAATTACACTTTTCAGCAAAAGAGTGAGAAGTACTAGATTTTACACAACAAAAAGAATCATCTTTAGAAAATCACATTTATACAAACCACATCATAAAACATAGAACTGTTCCTTCCACTTATAATATTTCTTTTCTCTTTTGTACAAAATTAATATATAACAGTTGTTAGATTTTGCACTTGTTTTATACAAAGGAGGAAGGGGGAAATGGCATCGTCACTCTCCCCTTCATTCATGCATATAAAACAACCCTTTCAGAATATCTCCTACACGGTACATTTCAATTATGTATGTTGTTCACAAAACAGTGAACAATAGCTTAAAGAGGTCACAAGAAATAAAATCAAAGCTTTTTTTCAAAGGTGGATTGCAAGATAAAACTAGAGAGCAAATTCTCTTTAGACTTTACATCAAAATATGTGCATAGACACTCGATACGAATCCTATGTGTAGCAAATGCACATCTAATCTATAGAAAATAACATTAAAAATGAAGGAGTTGATGGAGAAATATGATCATAATAATTTTGAAGACTCGTCAGAAAACAGGATAAACAAAATAAATCACAGGCTGATTAAAAGGATTATTGATTTTGCTTTCAATTTGTGAATCCCGCAAAGAAGCGTTTGTTCAATAATAACTCTGGTAGCCAAAGTTCATGTTATGATAAAGAAACATAGCTTAATCTATTCTTGATAGTGCTACAGATTGTCAAAAATGGTTTAGCTACATGCATTATCCATTCAGAATCCGCATATTATGTAGTAGGTCATCTGAAAAGCACTGCAGCAAAATAAAATGGCGCAATCATTTTACACTTCACATTATACATTTTTTGTGTACAGCCATATTGCATTTGACGCCAGGAATATTAAAAAAGGAAAAGAAGCTTCTTAAAAGATCCTTAAATAGGCAATATGTTGCAATGTTTTTTTTAAATCCTGTTTTTCGATCAACATTAAAATTTGCTTACTTTTCAAATTTTGGAGAAAGTTTGTACCCATATGTATTGTTTTCAGACTTATAACCTTTCATATTATTTTATTTTTCACTTTTTCTCTTCAAATATGCCTTTCCTGAATGGGTTGTTATTTGTTTCGTTTTTATTTCACTGTGAAATATTGCATCACATGTGAGCACGGTTAAATGCTACATAAACATCTTTTACATCATATATAAACTTGCATATTCAATACATAAAACAAAAATGATAAAATATTAATTAAATGCAGTTGGTTTTCAGAGAAGAGGGTGAACAGATGTGAATATTCATGTCAAATTTCTGCAGTATGATTTGGTCAAGGATTTTCTAAGTGTACATTGAAACTAACTGCAATTCTATTTGTCAGCTTTGCTAAATACACACTGTGTCAGAATACCTCTATTTCTAACTTTTACATAGTTAAATGTTTCTCTTATTTAATTCTATAGAATTGAAAAAATGAGAAATAATAATTTTTAATATATCATGTGCTTATTAAAGAGTGATAACTGTTTCTAGAACTAATATTAATCACACATTTATACTGAAAATATGATGAAAATACTTTGGCACTAAATGTTCTAATAAAGCTGAATTTCACATGCCTCTTTAGTCCTTTTAAGAGTCTATCGTCTTTATTTTTGAGTTTATGATGCCAATCTATTTACTTCGATATGAAGCATCTTGAAATAATAGTTTCATGCCAAGAAAAGTTCAGCATTTTGTCAAAATATTGAAACGAATTGGGGAAGTGTTCATCTCTCCTTCAGACTTTTACATGTTAGGACATAGATGCACATATATATATTTAACATATTGTATTAATATTCTGTATCCCCTTTCATTCAGATAGGAAAAAATAAGTTTAAGGACTTAAAGAGCACCTTAATTCTCAATACTAAAAGTGTAAACTGAAAAAAAAAAATTGACTACAATTGCACTAAGATTGGTTCTATGTACACAAACAACGCAAACAAATCTTAAGAAAATGATACAACGCAATGTGTACATACTACAGTATTGATTCTTTGGAACCAGACGGGTGTTAACTCATATAATCTTGCACCTATGGTCCTAAAGACACAAATGAATTTGACTTTTATCCCAACATGATGATTATTCTTATCGACTGATTGAGGTTCTACACCAGCAGGAAAACACTAATGTGAATGATACTTGTAAAGAAATTCACATCAGCATAATAGGCTTGAAGACTGTTCAAGTATAGTACTTTCAGAATATAACAATAGTGTCAAAATAACAACATAGAATGACAATTTTCATGAAAATAAAGACCGAGAATGTTGTATATTAACAAAAAGACAGCTTCTTTCAGCTGAGTACATCTCAAAGACAATGCAAGCTTGAGAACATGTGAAATTATATTTGCACAGAACGTACTTTGTGAGATACGTTGCATCCTTACATACAGAAGCTCATCTACAATAAATTAACATTTTAAAGTGTGTTTGCAAAACATTATATATACAATTACAAGCATGCATATAAATAGATAGTACATTTCAGAACATTTTCTTCCACATTAAAGTGTATGATAAAATATCTATACAAGGACTACATGGCATCAGCTTAGCTTTGCTACTTTGCACAAATCAGAAATCATATGATACAAAATTATACACAAATATTTTTGTGTACATCCTCAATGCATGATGATAAATTAAAAGCATGCACAAAGTAAATGATGCCTTTGTAATGCACTTTTGAATAATCTCATTTTTGTAAACACTGTGTATATATTGCAGACCGACGTGACACCGGTCCATGTATCAACTGTTATGACAGGCAATGCTTTGTTAAGTTATACTTCGTAATGCTTGCTAATTAACAGTGCCGAGCAAATTTCCTTCTTACACAATCAATTATCTTTTTGTCTTTTAGAGTTTAATGATGATAACGTCTTGCACTTATTCTTGTGATATATCAAACGCATACGAAGGAACAATCCTTGAAGCACTGAACATTTTAAGCAATCTGATTGGTCGACAGATCCATCCGGCAGACCTGATTGGTCCATTAAAAAATCACCTCCTGCAATCAGTCGGTCAGTGGGCGGAGACCCTGCTCCGTAAGTATTGCTGATTTCGGTAGTAAAGCACTTCATCAAAAAACGACACTATCCGACGTACAATATTGAAATGAAAAGAATCCTTTAAAATCTTGAACGACTGTCATCACCACAATTTCATATCTCACAGTGCTTCTTGCTGCATCATGTGACATAACATGAGTAAATGTTTCTATCTCATTGTAGCTTTCCAACTTTGTAGCATACAGAGTATGACTAGTTACTAGTGATCACATTGTAGATCTGCAGAGATGGCAAGCTCATTCCAGGTTTGTATCCCACAATGCATCCAGTACTCTAGCTATAACCCCGTCAATGCGTGGTTAGATTAGCTGCTCTAGAAGCCAAGACACAAGCCCGTCTCTTGGTCAAGACACAAACCCATCTCTTGGTCAAGACACAAACACGTCTATTGGTCAAGACACAAGCCCATCTCTTGGTCAAGACACAAACCCATCTCTTGGTCAAGACACAAACCCATCTCTTGGTCAAGACACAAACCCATCTCTTGGTCAAGACACAAGCCCATCTCTTGTTCAAGACACAAGCACATCTCTTGGTCAAGACACAAGCCCATCTCTTGGTCAAGACACAAGCCCATCTCTTGTTCAAGACACAAGCACATCTCTTGGTCAAGACACAAACCCATCTCTCGGTCAAGACCAAGTGGATTGCATGTCTAAATGAGGCATGGTCAATTCATTCTCCAAATGGCTCAAGTTCAACCACAAATCAGTTCATTTCATGGAGAACACTTGGACGATGATAAGTTATCACTTCACTCAACCTCTTTTCTTTGGTTATTTGATATCTACTTTATATGATAAAAGGTAAGCACCCATGTAGACCTAATGCGTTACATCCTATCCAAGGGACTTGTTAAGGTTTGGAGCAGTGTACTTTAAACTGTGATTTCCACTGAGATGTCCTCGCTACTCATACCCATAGAGTCCACACTATCACTGTCACAAGAATGCGAGTTGGAACAGTTGGCCGCCTCTTGGAGTCTCATTAACATGTTGAACTGCAATATAAAAGAAAAAAACAGAAAAAGAATTCATTAACTGACTGCAAATGATAAAGGTACTATAAAATCTAATTTCAACACTTAAACCCTTGAACTTTGTAAAAAAAGTAATGACTGTAGAAATTGTTGCTAGAGCAAATATGTCAGATCACCTGAAATTCAACTTAAAATTTGGTAAAATTACATTACTATAACCTATAAATATCTAAGTTTATGAGGATAACAGCATTCAAATATCTCTGTGTTTATGAGTACACTTGTAGCGTTGCTCCATATTGCATCAACCACCAACATTTCTATTTTCTCATTTTCCTTTTAAATCCCATTAGTCTCATTTCCCTCCAGCTGCACAAACAATTACCATACACAATACACATCACTGAATTCACAAATTCAACACCATATTACTGTTACAGAGAATTAAAACAAATAGGCAAAAAAAAATAAAAAATGTTTTGCATCCCCGCCAGCTTTTTGAGGCGGCCTGCTTAAAATTAAAAAAATAAAAATAAAAAAGGATCAAACATACTGCCTAAATTATCTTTTTTTAGAATTTGTTTTGAATAAAACAAAAGCTGGTTGCTATCTTGAAAAAAATATACGAGTTGCACGTCTTGGAAATGTGCAGAGCGGCCATTTTGAAGTGGGAAAAAATAGGGCCTCCTTCTTCTTTTTTTCATAAAGGCAGGATGAAGACATGTTTATTTTAATATTTGGCCTAAAGATGATGCCCAAGGAGGCCAGAAGTGTTCATTGGTTTTATATCGTATATAACCTGGTACATCAATCTCCTCAAAGGAAATAAAATAGAGGTAAACAATCAAAAACGTTAGGAACCAAATATAATAAATTAAGTAAACATCTATCTGAACATGATTGGGCACTCATTACATACCAAGATACATGTAGAATAACATTACTTAACCATAGAAAGAAAAAAAGAAGATAAAAACATGCAGGGAGAGAAAAAGAGGTACTGAATAGAGAAGGCACTGAATCAGGTTTGAACAAACACCAGACAACTAGAAGACTAGTACATCTACACTCAACTCGTACTGGGGAGTGTTTCACAAAGACTAAGATCGACTTTGAGTTAGACTTAACTATGGCAGGCCGGTCATGCCACTAGTTGCTCTCACCATTGGTCTCTTGGTTATATTTATTTGCTACAATAATAAACTACCAAAAATGTAAATTCTGTAGATTTGTGATCACGATTGGTACGTCCCTTGAGAAACCAATGCCAGTAAACGATGGGAGAAAATAGTGGCATGAACGGCCTGCCATAGTTAAGTCCAACTTGAAGATGATCTTAGTCTTTGTGAAACACTCCCTAGGAGTTAATAAAAGTGCTGAATGGAATACTGATTCACATAATGATTCATAACAAAATGAAACATATTTTTCAACACTGACTACACAACTTCATACAAACTCTTAGATAAACTATATACATCAAACACAGTGCAGCAATGCTTATAAGGGAAGTCCACTCTGATAGTACATTGATCGGTTAGTTTCTCTCATTTGTCTTCTTGTTAATGGAAAAAATGTAATATCTTTGAAGACTTCCCTTCGAACCCACAGCAGTTCAGAGTTTTGTAAAGGTACAAATTAATAATCATCTCCTCTTCAAATTAGTAATTATTTTTTGTATATTCCACTTTTCCATAGCTAATATAAAATGAATCAATATGTAAACAAAATACCATCCAATTTCTGCTCGTGTAAATTTGTAATTCAGAGCATTGTAGATTAATAGATGAGACATTAAACTGCTATGGGTTAACACATCAACTATTTAAAACATCAAATCAGTCCCTGCAAACATAGGGACCTACCCTGTGTGCTAAATGGTAGGGCTCTCACAACTACGTGGGCTTGAATAGCCTGATGCCTCCTGTAGATGCATGAGCATGCTTAACTGTTTGGAGAATAGGGGTGGGCAGGGTAGAGAGAGGTGGAGGGATTAGATGGAAGGAAAACAATGTGGAAAATGAATCTCAATTCCCATACAGTGTTTGTCACTCAAAAACCTGAGGTGATTTTGCCTTGCATTGATGAAAATTATTAAAGCATACAGATTCTTGAAAGCAAAATTCATGACTAAATTCATTGAGAAAATAATGATTTAGTACATGTGTAAATCATTCAGTAGTCCTCGATCTGGATATACATGTGTAAACAAATTTGTGCATGTATACAAAATACACATATATATTTCCTAATTATAATTATCATTATTTTCTTTATGCAGATACAAACTTTTTTTTCTTTGACTTGCCCATGTTATTACTTAATGAATTATGCATGAAAATTTGATTGCCGACCCTGTCAGAAGTTTAAAATTAAATCAATGAAATATATATCAAAGGAAAGCTTATGAGCCATAGTTTACGATAATATCAATATGCTATTTTAGTGTCTGTCAGAGGAGTAACAGCTTTCTGAAAAGTCAAAATCTAAAGCTTTGAAAATTGAAAGTTGTTGGCCTAAAAACCAGCTATCAACTTAATGACATTATCTTAAGTTGAGTACCCATATTCACAATGACTTTGCATTAATTAAGCACAGCTCATCGCCTCAGCTATATAGGCAAGCTGGTGTGGTCCACATGTTATGTTGTCATCATATAACCCCGGCAATTTTGGAAGGGTGCGGAAAAAGAAGTTTTAAATTGCTTTTGTGCAACACTTAAAAGGGACAATATTTGTTATTCTTACGTATTTGTTTTCTATGCTCATTCAGTTTTCCATTGATATAAAGTTATATTTTCATCGAATTTTCAACATCTTTAACATCATCATATCAAATCAAATTGATTTCACAAGAACCAAGAACCAATTCTAAATAGATTCAACAGATAATTTTACTCACCAATGGGTCACCTTCGACCTCTCCTTGACCTTGCTGACCTTGCGTTGACCCCTTGATCCCAGAGTGCATGCTGTAGCCATCAAAGCCCACATCCTCTGGTCGTAACCTGAGAAGGGATGGCCAATCCTGGGAGGAGCTTGCCATCCAAGGATAGCTGTCAATCACCCACTCAGCCGGGTCTTCCCATGATGCTTTGCGGCCATACAGCTGTTAAAAGACATGGAGATAGGATTGGTAAATGAAGAGTGCATGGACCATTTCTTTCATTTCAGAATGTACCATCAAACAATTGCTGTATCAATCATTATCATTGCAAAATGACCTGAACCCCCCCCCCCCCCCCCCCCCCCCAGGCCTCCCAGAAAGTAAAGCAAGATAACCCAAAGTTCTCCAGGAACTTTAGACAATAACAAAACCCTTGGCAGCTTGGTGCAATTTACCACTCTACATTGCTAACTTACTGATGACTCTTCAAAGAACTCGCCTCTACCCCTCCCCTGACAGTCTTTTCTAAAGACAGTTGAACCTATCATTATGCTTTATTAACTTACTGCAGATTATTCAAAGAAGTCAACTGTAGACCTGGATGGGATGCAACCTATTGATATGCTTCATGAACTCACTGGTGAATCTTGAAAGAACTCACCTGTAGGCCTTCCCTGACAGCCTCTAGAAGGTAGGGCACGATGGAGTAGTTCCACAAGTCTGTGAACCAGACCTGAGAACCAGCCAGATCGATGGGACAGGACAAGAACAACCTGGGTCCAATGGTCACATCCGAAGAACTGTGGGTCTCTAGGAACTTGTTGAGATGGAGCCAGACCTTGGGCATCCAGTCAACCATCTTGATCAGGTCATTGTTGCGAGCGTTGTGGCTGATCTCGTACTCCACCAGCTTCCTGCGGAGGTAGCGTCCCAAGAAGCCCTTGACAGGCTCCATATGGTTTGCACATAGCACCCATCTACATTCAATCACAAAGAGTCAGATTGGAGTAAACAAAGGAAAAACTAACATGCCAGAAAAATCAAATCAAACAAACACATGAGGATCAAGAAAAATAAGAAGAAAGACGGACCAAAGACATGTAATAGGATGAATGTATGAAAGTGTGAAGGATATTGATTTGTCTTCTTTCTTATCTTGGTTCCATTGATACTAAAACCTCTGCGAACAGATGGGCAAGTTTGACTTACACCTTTAACATTATTAAATGACCGTATATATATCCTCTAATAATTCTCTTTCCTCTTCCTAGACATCCAATCCTACCAACAAAAGATAAGATACATTATGTCTAAAGTTCATGATACATTTGATCCGTTTAGGAGTCATAGGGCATTCATCTTTCATACTAGCCAACATATGAAAATAAGAATTAGGAATTTTTAGCACGGTATGCTTTCGAGAATAAGAAATCGCGCTTGCAATACGCTGTAAATCTGTACCAAGAAGTGAATACAAATTCGCTGCTCGATCATGCAGCCATTCAACGCACATAATACGTGAACTCTTACCTCGCAGCACATGTTAAAACGAGCTTAATTTGGCTTAAGCGGAAAAAACAAAACAAAACAAAACAAATCAAAATTTTGAAAAAACAGAACATTACAGCTTTTCAGGTCCTAGAAATCCAGAAAAAAATGTAATATTCCGGATTATTCGTAAGGGTTGGCAGGTATGATCTTTGTAGATCCTAACAGATGTTTAGTATGTAATATCAAGCATCTGTCCATGCACTCACCTGAAGTTGTGATGGAGTTGTAGGTTTGTTGATGAACATGTTGCTTGGTTCATGGTGCCGATGATGTAGGGGCACTTCTGGTACTTGATGAAGCCATTGAAGATATCCCCCAGGGCACCAGCATGATGAAGGTTGTCCAGGATCACCACCTGAGGCATCTCACTGCCACTGTGAGTAACAATAATCCATTCACAAATCATTATCCCCTTCCTGGCTTTCGTCAACCATTTTAACATACATGATGTGTCCGACATTCAATTCAATTCAATTCAATTTATTATTTCATAAAAAATCACATACAATATATATACATTGAGAAGTGTACTGGATCATTAGCACCCGATAAAGCTGATGGCTTGAGGGAAGTGGATGGACCCATAACATAAATGACAAATGTGGAAAATACAAAACATTAAAATTCAGTGTTCACATATACTCCAGCAATGTGGCACTCAGTCCAGGGTTTCGAGTTGAGCCCTCATAGCATATCATATTGAGAGAGATAGATGTGACATGCATATGCTTAGGAGGTCATAGGTAAAATCATGGTGATCTGGAATACCCCCTCCCAAATACAATCTCTGTAGGAGGGAGCTATTTGAATTTTCATAAAATAACTGACCAATCAGAAGGCTCAACTAAAACAATTGCACCAAACAATGTATTGTCTTGAAATAACATCACTAAATCTTAATATGCCACACAGAAAGTCTCTCTGCCATATTGTATTTATCATTGGAGGGGTATACCAAAGGATTCAAGATTATTAATATGTTTTCAAGTGCAAGATTAATTCATAACAATGTTAAAAGGGTTGTCACAAAGCTATTCAATAATGAGAAGGGTAACTTTACAAAGCCATTGTGTTGCACAGATTAATCCTTTCAACAATTGTTGACTACTGTTTTGTTCAAAATGGCATGTGTGCCAAATGAGCAACAATGCAGTGAGGTGAAGAACGCAATCAAAGAGATGTCAAACATTTGAGAGTATGTCAGTCAAACTTACCCTGCTTCACACTGTTCTGCTATCGATGATAAATATTGCTTGAGTTCCTTTCCAGATTTATGATCAACGTTATATGTATTAATAGACTCTGATGTCACATCCTTCCCTAACCTAAAAGAGAAAAAATGTAACAAACAAGAATAAGTCAAAGACTAAATATGAGATGTGTAAGAGAGACATTCATCTTAAGTAATAGTATGATCATTAGAGCTATGTATGCACAGCACTTGTAGTTTAGAACTTATGTTACACAACTGTACATGCTAGGAGCATGTGCAAAATAGTCATCCCCATTTTAGCTGAAAGATTTCCCCCCTGAAAAATCAGTGTAGATTAGACCATATAACTCACAGTCTGACCTTAGTTGTCAATTCTAACCCACCCCCCTCCCCCCTCCCTAACCAGACTCCACATTTGGTTCAATTTCACCCCATCTAGCCCATGCAGCAAACCTTGCCAGTAAGGGGTAGCATGACAGGACATTACATTAAACACACAAATTCTGTTGTGATGGGGTGTCAGATGCCCCCTACATACCTGTGGACGATGTACTCTGCTAGTTTCTGTGCTAGGTACGTCTTGCCTGTCCCGCTGGGGCCACACATGATGATGCGTCTATGTTCCATGAGGAGAGAAACGTAGCGTTGCATGATGGGCTTCGGGATGAGAGTCTCGAATACCAGGGAGTCACAGCTGTTCTGCAGATGATCTAAACATTGAAAATAAAATGTTAAAACTTACAGTCATTGTTTAATTCTGCCTCTAAGTATTACAAAAGTAAACAAAATAACGTAATCTATGAGGGAAAATAATAACAAAGAACAAAATTCATCTACCAATATGTTGCCAATTTACTTTCAAGATCGCAACGGCTACCTGCATCAAAAAAAATTATCAGTTAAGCAACATTTGCTAAAAGAATATGAATGGGGAGCAAGTTTGGGCAAAGTGTTACATGTGGCATATTTCAAGGACTAATAATCGGTTTGGTGTCTGTCTCGTTGCTGTGACAGGGGTATAAACAAGTTAAATAATTTACCTTTGACAAATATCCTGATGGAAATGTTTTCTCCGACAAGATATCCACAGGGTAGAAGCTCTGGTGATTCTGATTCCTTGGTCCTCATGATCTCACCTACTACATAGCACATGATGCTCTCTGAACTTAGACCAAGGTTTGTCACGGGGTCGATCCTTAGCACATATTCCTGATGAGTGAGAGAGAGAGGGAGAGAGAGAGAGAGAAAAGGTACAATCAATACAAGTACTTTAAGAGAGTTGTATGCAGTGATATGAGTATGAAAAGAGTATGTATATCTCCACAGCACCCTTATTTGTGCACAAGTGTAAGTGCTGAAACCTGCTCAAATAAAACCTGCAACAAACACAAAATCATGAGAAAAGTAAACTTGTCATTCAGCTTCATGTTAAATCCTAGGTGTGCCATCAAACCAGAAGAGGAGGAAGACTTACCTTGAATATTCTCCTCACCACACTGTCTAACGTATCCCAGTTTGTCTTGCTGCTGATTCCTATAGTACCAATCAGAACCTCATGAACAGGCATTGACACCGTCTGTAAAAGAGAAAGATTATGCAATAACAGCTCACCTATACTTTTACTTTTTACTCAATTGACTTCTTAGTTACATTCAATCACTGGCAGAATCGGGTTGAAACATCCATCCCATGCCAACCGCCCCCCCCCCTCGGTATACCTTAAAGACACAACTCCAAGATTGTACCCCCTTTCTAAGTTATGACTTTTTTTACTGGAAGTCACCCCCCCCCCCCCCCAAAAAAAAAAAAAAATATGACGACAAATTTATTTCCCCCTTCTTTTCCCAAATCCTGTATTCGCCCCTGCCTCCAATAAAACTTTAACCAACTTATGAAACTACCCTCAGAATAAACTTTTTGAGCAAGCCAAGTCGTTATCAAATTTTCACCTGACTGAAGTTGGAAGGTTTGAACTTACTGTAGGTTGAGTCAAGGGGTCCTGAAGGCCACCCAGCGCTACTGTGACGACTATCCTCTTACTATTACTGGTCATACCAGAGTTATCGTCTAGTAAGATATCCAAACTACCATGGTCTGAATGGGTACTTAATCTGTGTCGATCTGAAAATCAGGAAGAAAAAAAAGGTTGAAACATATCAAAGAGAGGAAAGTTAGGAAGCTTCGTAAAACGCAGTGGCATAAAAATACACTTCTGGAACACAAAGGCCTATAACTGTTAAATGTGACAGCTCAATATACCACTTTTGATATCATTTAATCCAAGGTCATAGAATCATTATCATTTACAGTGAGTGAACTTCACCTTTATGACTAGCAGATTTTACATGTAATGTACACATCCTCCACCCACTTCAAATAACCCACCCCTAACACTTAGAAGGAAAATCCATCAATATAAATTCTGAATTTAAATGGTGACAGAACACTTTCTGTGTCTTAGTGGCACACTGAATTTCACTGCTGCATGAAATGTTGGTACATAAAACAACTGATAATTCCCTAAGTATATGCGTTTAACATGTTACAATGCAATGCATATAGAAACCATTATGTGTATGTCTTTTAACCCATAGCCTACTGGAACCCGGTCATCCTTGTATTAAGCCTATAGGGATTAAGCCTATAGGGATTAAGCCTATAGGGATTAGACAATTCAGTGGTCAACAGATTAAGAGTTTAGGGACCTACCAAGTGAATCTCTACTGAGTCTCTTTGAGGAGCCAAGAGAGTTTAGAGAAGCCTGAGAAGAGCTGGCTTCCAATGATCTTCTTGATGTCACCTGTCTCTGCAACCTCTCGTTCTCTTGCTTTAATACACTCATCTCATTCTGTGAAGGTAGTAAGGTACACATGTATAAAAGTTAAATCGTTTACAGTACAAGAATAAGTAATGTCTATGTTTAAACTGAAACTTGTCATATATGTAAGTAGATTTATTAAATCAAGTAATATCATCAGCTGAATTAACACCCTTTCAGCATCATTATTGTAATCATCATTATCATCATCATAACCACCATCATTGCCATGATCATCACCAAGATCTTGTTATATCAGTGCAACCACCCCACTACCATTAGTGCAACCACCCCACTACTATACCATCAGTGCAATTATCCTCATTATACTCCTTTTTACCATCATCTTCATCATCACTATCATCGCTTTCAAGGCCTCTAGTTCAACATCTTAATCATCATCAATCACCATTGACCATTATCACCACCACCAACATCATCGTACCTTCATTTTATTCATAGCTTCTTTAAGCTGGTCTAACTGGTGTTGTGAACTCAAGGCCTCTAATTTGACATCAGTTAATTTACTCTCCTTGTCTCTGAGCTGCTTCTTTAGATCGGTGATCATTTCCTTACTCTCGGGAGAGTCATATATCCTACAAAGAGACACATACAACAAAGGATACAAGTAAAATGTACATGCGATAAATGTGATAAATGCTAGACCTTGCTATATCAACATGGATAAAAATGGTATGAAATCTAGTTAAAGGATGATATTTCTCACATAAGTAAAACATTCATGTTTACTCTCTTGTGACAAGTCAACCATTACTAATATTCAAGGGACGATCTTGTACAAAACACGCTGTGGTAAATTGCTCCTTCGTAGAATCTTTTTTAAATACCGGTAGTCCTTTCAACTTCAACATTCAACTAACCCTGACCGTAACATCAAACCCAACTGCAATCATAAACTTAACATCAAATCCAACTGCAACCCTGACCCTAACATCAAACCCAACTGCAACCCTAAACCTAACATCAAACCCAACTGCAACCCTGACCCTAACATCAAACCCAACTGCAACCCTGACCCTAACATCAAACCCAACTGCAACCCTGACCCTAACATCAAACCCAACTGCAACCCTGACCCTAACATCAAACCCAACTGCAACCCTGACCCTAACATCAAACCCAACTGCAACCCTGACCCTAACATCAAACCCAACTGCAACCCTAAACCTAACATCAAACCCAACTGCAACCCTGACCCTAACATCAAACCCAACTGCAACCCTGACCCTAACATCAAACCCAACTGCAACCCTAAACCTAACATCAAACCCAACTGCAATCCTAAACCTAACATCAAACCCAACTGCAACCCTAAACCTAACATCAAACCCAACTGCAATCCTAAACCTAACATCAAACCCAACTACAATCCTAAACCTAACATCAAACCCAACTGCAACCCTAAACCTACAGTGTATATCTCTAGAAAACATACTGGACCACTGAAGCATCCAGGAGATACTTACGCGGACGTGGAAGCGGATGTTTTGAGTTGGCCGTTGCCAGGGATACTGCCGTTAGATAATGAGATGTTACTCTCACAATCTTCTGTGTCTGTTGTCGTTCCACTCATCTTCTTCTTACGTGTGAATGCAGCACGGAATGAGCTTCGGATCTATGAAACAAAGAAGAGATGGGACGTTCAGAGTATAACATACACATAATACACTGAGTTCATTGATATAGTGATCTTGCATCAGTCCTTGATATGACACACTGCATTCATGATAGGATAGATATACCAAAGGCTTTAAGATAGTTGAACTGTTTCCAGGGCAAGATTAATCTATACCAGTGTTAAAAGGGTTTTCATGAAGCTAATCAAGACTGGAAACAGCTAATTTTGCAAAGATTTTGGGTTGCACAAAGCAATCTTTCTGTCAATTGGTGCCTATTGTATTGTGAAAAACTGCATGAGTGGCAAATCAGTGACTGTGCACGAAGTCAAAGAAATCAACTGAAATGTTAAACTGTTTCACAGCACTTAAACTAATTAGCATAAAAGAATATCAGTTGTTTTCATGTGATGGTCCTGATGACCTGCGCACATTACAGCCCTCAGAATCATCCGTTCAATATGAAACAGAGAGAGGACTAGGCCCTTCTGCCTTACATTCTTATTTACATTTATCACAATCTAAGTACCGGTATTCTAGTATAGTATGTTACATTTCCTAAACTAGTTTATCTCTTGAATGTAAAGTCACAAAAATACTGAACTTCGAGCAAAATAAATAATCAAATATTCAGACTAATCAAAATAATTTTATTTAGATCAGTCTCAGTACCCTATTACCATGAAGATAATGTAATTTTGTCAAACAAAGTATTTGTTAATGTTAACTTGAAATAAGAGAATAAATGCAAGTATTGTGTTTGATACTACACATACATGTAGACCCTTCATTTAAATAACATTTGTCAAAATATTTATTTTGTTTTTAATGAACTTAGTTTTACATGAATAATAATTTCAAATATTGCTAAGATGTAAAAAGTATTTGTTTTGTAAAATTCAATCAAATTTTATGCCCTTCAAAAACTTTATCACCTTTTTAAAAGAACAAATAAGTCTACATGCTGAATAAAACAAAAGAGCTACCAAACAGTCAAACTCTAAATTCACATAAGTAGAACTACTAGAACAATAAATGTATGTCACAACAAAATACATGTATTTACACAATGATTAAGGAAAGAAAAACACACTCAAATTTATAATATACTATTGAAAAAACACCTACATGAACGGTTATGAGTCTGCATTTGTATGAGTGTAACTTGAATGATTTCATTCTTCTACACATGTTCTACAGGTAAAAGGAATAAATTATACACATCAAACCTCTATCTCTTGCAACTTCTAAATACAATATAGTCATGTATAATAACGCTTAAAATGGTGAACAGGCAACTTAATACCAATCTATCAAAACAAATTCATGTTATCTAAATAGAATTATTAAAAGTGCTTTTAAATCTAAAAAATAAAATAAAATTCTGAACAAAATAAAAGTGCTTGAATTGCGATTATCTTGCTGAAAGTGTATGAAAAAATAAACTGGAAAGCTTCAAGCAAAGAGATTAATGGCGTTACAAATGTTTGTGTTTTCTTATTTTTCTGGCTGTACTGTATATTCAAAATGCACTTAAATGTCTGATAGAACCTATTATTCTATGTTAAGAAAATATTTATCTTGATGTTATAATACAGGACTCTTTTGTCATATTGTCAAATCTAGTAGTGTTAAATCAAATGGCTAAATACAATAAATGGAACTAATGCAAAAACTCAAGAAACACACAATAAATTGTGGTTCTAGCATACATGTATGTGTGTTGGCAGGTAATCAATACAGAATACTATGAATAAAGAAGGAGAAGAAAAAACACTCGTCTGTTAAAAGCTAGAAAGACAGAACTCTTATCAAATCGATATGAGATAAAACCTTGCAGGCTCCAAACAGACAAACTATAGAACACAAAAATAAACAAACAAACAAAAATATGGGAAAGTCAAACTATATAGCCTAAAACCCAACCAGGGTTAATATTAAACTACAAATCAAGTTTAGAAACGACATGCACATTTCAATAAATAAGGAAAAACCAAAAGCATGATTACAAGTTGACTCATTACCTTATCACCTGATGAGGACGTCTTTAAAAGGTAGGAGGACAAACATGAAATTTTATAAGTTTAGATTCATTCCTGACTTCAGTAATTTAATTATTTCTTATAAGATAAATTAATTTTGATTTAAGCCATGTCTACATAATCAATCATGGAACCTTTACAGGTATATATTCAAATTTATATGAAGTACATCAGGAAGAAAAAAATTGACTTGCACATATTATAGATTTATTCAAATCCTAAAATAAATTTCGAAGAAAACTTCGCTATCGATCTGTTTTAACCATTTTGATTCAACATGCACAATAATATATATAATCAAGTTTCATCAAACTTTGGCATCTTAATTTTTTCCTCAAACACTGATCAGTGTCACTCATTTTTATGTTTTTGTTTCGTCCAACTCAATGGACTTTTCCTGTAAGTAAGAAACTGGCAGATCATTGGTGAAAACTTACCCAGTTTTTCTTCTTTTTTTTCTTTGATTCTAGCATCTCTGTGTCAGTAACGGCTGAGCCTACGCTAGACATGCTTGTCATACTGGCCAATGAGGACATAGAATCAGTTGACATCTGCCGGGTCATACGACGTTCAGAACCTGAAACAAAACAAAATAAAAGATTATTAGAAAAAACATTAGTTTTGTTTATTCTGTAACTTTCTTTACATTAAGCATGATTTTGTTCACAATGAAGAGGTGAAAATATACTTTATTCTGATTACTTGTGTGATTGGAAACAACGTACTGTTCTTTTTTTAAAAGTTTTTGATCATACAAACTGATATTCTTAATTTGATAGAGTATGTGAGACTTTTCAATACTGTCTGAGCATGAAAAATGATATATATGATGATTGATATAAAATTACAAGAAAAATAGAACACACTGCACATACGGTAAATAGTGTGTAGACAAATATAGTGCCGTAAATAATATTCCATTTCAATCCAATATAAATCTGTGGATAACAAAATATTATCTGAAAAAAGGGAGCAGATAATAACAAACAAAAACAAAGAAGCAAACAAATTAAAACAGAATGAGATCAAGGGGAAAAAAAGGAATCCAATAGTTAAACTTTCTATATGATAATATGGAACAACTGCATCACTTCATCCAGGCATCACTTTGGTAACCTTTTAACCATGTAATGTTAGTAACCTCTCAATGTAACGGAACAATGAGAGACTTACAGATATACATAAACAACACAAAGAGATCCAGGAAAGGCAAAAGTACATTTTCAAGCCATCCAATATTTTTCCTTTTAAGAGGAGGTAATTACGAGACATACAAGCCGTATCCTCGCACTCATATTGAATTCCCCGATCGTAAACATTGAGCCGAGGCCTCGGTTACAAAGCGTGGCGGTGAATACCAAAATGGTTTCCTTCTCCCTTGACTATAATGAAGGGTATGTGCATGCATGTCCGGGTAAAGAAACCTTCTAAAAAGTCATTACAAGACATTTAATCTCCCTACCTCTCCAGTACCAGGCCATTCAATTTTTCTTTCCTTGAATCCGAGAGATGTTTTTGAGAGTCTATTCTATATTACATGATCTCTCCTATCTTTTGTTAATATGTGTTTATAGGTTATATTGTATTGCCTGTTTGGAGCCACAAGGACATTAAACGTAGTGTATCCCTTTTGCAGCCGACATCAAATTCTGTAGAACTTTGCAGGAATTATAAATATCTCACGTATGTCCTCTCTATGAAATTTAAACGTAAACTAGCAGTGTCTTAATATTCAAATTATGCAAGGAAACCTGTTGACTTGCTAGACCTAACTGTCAGACACTATTGAGTGACCGACTCACTTTTCTTTTTCTTTGTTTACAATTAATTAACGTACATAAAATGAGCTGTAACAGGTACAGTGTACATGGGCATTTGTCTACATCAATAACCCACCTCAGACTCCAAACATACAGTATATGTGTGTCTGGATGCCATGCATGGTCTGCTGATAGAGAGCCAGAAGCCATCGTGCTCTCAAAAGAGTATACGGCATACATTATCCATCTCTTTAAAACTCCAAATCAACTATTCATATCATATCTCTTTCTGCCGCGCGCTGCTCATAAATTCATGCATGCCCACTTGCGCAAGCTGTTTGCTCTCATTACAAATTCACCACCTAGCTCTACCGACACAAAGCATTATGCATGGGACTAGAATTCACAGTAGGTCAGGCATTAGATATCATGAGTTACCTAATATAACCCTGCTATATGACGTGCTATATGACGTGAGATATGATGAGGTTTAGAATTTAGATCGGCACTCAAATTATTCGGCAGACAATCATTTTTATTAAGTTCTGAGAGAAATCGGTTATGACATTAGCAGATTAGCAGATTATGTGAAGACATTTTCTAGTGAGTTGTGAATGTATAAAATGCTGTCTCCAAGTCTTAAAATTACTAAATTACATGACTTTAAGAAAATACTTGGATTTACACCCTTACAAAAAGTACCATGGTAACCATGGTACTTTTGTCCAAATTGCCATCCACCATGGTAACCATGGTTATCATGGTACCAAAACAATGAAATACATTGGGTCATCAAACAATGTATTTCATTGTTTTGGTACCATGATAACCATGGTAACCATGGTGGATGGTAATTTGCACCAAAAAAAACATGGTAACCATGGTACTTTTTTGTAAGGACATTCTTATGTTGAGAGACTTAAGGGCATTTACTCAGATACTTTATGAAAAAATAATGTCAATTAATTATGCCCTGCTGGCTTTCGACAGACAGTATAATAAGACATGATTTTGGTTTATAAATAAGCTGAATAATCTTGCCATAATTCTGATGAATATCCACTCATATTCAAGCAATCAAAGTACTTTCAATAGGATACGATCGAGGCTCCACTTACCAATGTTTTATACATGATACTAAAGCGCTTGGAAGTCCACTAAAATACTGCAAAACCAAATTCCTTAAGTGCCACTTCTGCCATACTTCATATATAGCCACACTATCTGCCAGCTATACTGTATCAATCCAATGATCTCTGATCATCTCTCACTATACCACAGAAACATTTTCTTATATGCCGATATATTTCTTGTAATACATCCAAGCCATAGTACTACTGCTTGATCCTTGGCAAAAACTTGAAGATTTCATGACTGCAGTCAACAACACAAACAGTTGGCTATAGAGTTTCTACACGCAGAGCAAAGAATAGTCTTACATACCATTAATCCTAGTATAAAACCTGGCAATGTAAATCTATGGTTACATTCATCAATTATGAGGAACCATTCCAGAGTTCAAGAATTCTCTGAGACACATGACATGATCTCTAAACCCTAACTCGAAAGAGGATTGGTAATAAGCTGATCTATGGAGAATGATGATGAAACACCACACTCAAGGCTCCATTGATTGTACGTGTATTCACTAGCCATACAATGACTGCACTTTCAACGGTTAGTCAAAGCTCAATATCCAATGTTGGAACAGAGCCGGCGAGTAGACAATAATTAAACATCAAATATAAACAAAGGTGAAAATAGGGCAAGCTTGCACAGCCACTATTGTGCAGTTCACCTTTGAGCTAGCTGTGTTAGGATCTACTGAGAGCTAGAACTTAGAAGGGTAAGAACTATTAAAGGGTATGACTTAACGCCCTTCTGGCATTCAGCAAAGCTTGTTTTGGGGTTTTACACCGCTAGACAGTTACAAAGCTACTTGTACCAGTGTTGTTTCTTTCATCTTAGCTTTTATCTTTCAGAGGAAGAATGGGGAGAGAAAAAAAAAGGAAAAAAGAGAGGAGGGGTGGAGGAGATTGAGAGGGAAAGAGTGAAGTGAAGAGAGAGATGGGGAGAGAGGAAAGGGGGAGGGGAGGGGGAGAGAGAGAGAGAGAGAGAAAGGAAGAGAGAGAGAGAGAGAGAGAGAGAGGAAAGGGGGAGGGGGAGAGAGAGAGAGAAAGGAAGAGAGAGAGAGAGATAGAGAGAGGAAAGGGGGAGGGGGAGAGAGAGAGAAAGAAAGAGAAAGAGAGAGAGAGAGAGAGAGAGAATGATTTCATATTTTGATTGATAAACCAATCCATATTTGTTATTACTTAGAGCGCCGCAATGGCAGCACAGCTAAAGCAGGGGTAATAATCTCCAAGTTTGGAAGCGCTTAGTGATTCTAATAAGCGCTATATAAAAACTGAGTATTATTATCATTATTATTATTATTATTATTACTTGTCAAGGACCTACAATATGTCAAAAAAATAAGAATAATGTAAAAGTCAAATGAATATAGCAATTTAATGTTATGACATTTAAGATTTCTGTAATTGCTGAGAACATAATTATTTCAATTTTCTTTAATGAATTAAATAAATGAATTTATTTAACATATTCAATGCACATTTCTGTTTCAATGGAGACTATCTCCTTGAAAAGTTAATTGCATAATAAATCACATTTCAAGCAATATTCAAGAAATGTTCATAATTCTTTGATGATAAATGTTCAAATATATCCAATTCTTTACCAGTCCTTTTGAAACAAAACCAGGTCTTAGAGTCCCACTACATTACTAGTAGCTACTTGCGCCCTCTAAGCAAACAATACCTAATCAGTATTATTAAATGCCTGGTACATGTGACTGCAGATAAATGAAACTGTAACAGAACTAGTAAAAGAGATCAACATATTTACCAAAGCATGATGTTAGTTGTTGTAACTCTTGGCGTCAAAATGGCCATTCAGGTTCATGATCAGAAGAAACTTACATTCTCAGCAAGTTCTGCATTTCAGAATGTCAACTCTTGACAACATCACAAATTACCAGGGACCTGGTGATCCCAAAACAACACCAAAAGAGGGGTGCAAAAGTTGCCCTCTACCAGGCATTGACTGATGACTCATACATAGGGTGCAATGTTGCACCCCTGTAAATAATGGTAGTCTTCATCTTTGGTCCGTTCTCTGAACTTTCAAAAACTTTAATATCACCCTAAACCTTACCATGCATAATATTTAACCCAATCACAATACTGCTAAATTTAGGCATGTACGTCATATGAATTCCCTGTAAGATTTGTACTAGTTTCCCTTTGATGTGTACACATGAAACTCAAGTAAACTAATTGCTAAAACGGATCAATTTCTGATTTATTTTTTTTTTTTTTTTTTTAAATGTCGGCGGCCATCTTGAAAAATAGCCCGACTGTCAGGGAAAATGTACGAGCGGCCATTTTGAGCAGCCATTTTGAAAAAAAGGAAGAAAAAAAAAGGCCCTTCTCCTTCCTATTTTTCAAAAAAGAAGGACGCTAAACATTTTTTTTTTTTAATTTGGCTTTAGTGTTGTGTTGGGTCAGGGGACGAAGCTGAGAATTTGGTTGGTGTATAAGCATGGAGATCCATGGTATACGCAGTATAAGTCAGCAATGGATTGCAGAGGAATTGCCTCTGGAGCATGTGTTGTATAATCATTGCAGGCCTAGAAAGTCAGACTAAGACAATAATGGGCTAATCTTTTGGTTGTACCATGAAGCTTTACAAAGCAAGGCAACATGAATCCCCATGAGTCACCCATGTAGAGGTGAGCATGGTACAAAGGGGGTAAGGGCAGACACCCCTGTAGGGGTGGGCATGGTATAAAGGGGGTAAGGGCACACCCCTGTAGGGGTGAGCATAGTACACAAAGGGGTTAAGGGCAGACACCCCAGTAGGGTAGGGCATGGTATAAAGGGGGTAAGGGCACACCCTGTAGGGGTGCATAGAGGTGAGCATGTGAGGGTGTTTTGAAAGTTCATGGGGTCTCAGAACCCCCTGGTCATAAATTAACCCTTTAATCAATCAAGACTGCTCACTTTGGAAAGGTTAACTAAATCAGACTAGTGTTCAAATTTCTTTTGAGGTATTTCTTTGTTTGGTGTTCCAGCTCTGTCTTGAAATAGTATTACTAATGTTGCTTAAAAATATCCAAAAAAAGGCAAACGTATGATGAACAAGTAAAATGCTCTAAATGGCTTGTTTTTAGATTATATGCACATCCTTTGTTGGAAAAAGATACACACATATCTTACAAAAGTAAGGATATATTGTCTTCAGGTAAAACTTGGTTGTGAATGTTATGAAAAAAATTGCTTTCTAAATTGTTTACCTGCACAAATAAGGTTACATGTAATTCATCCCGTTACAGTTTATATATTAGATTTAAGTACTTCTGCTTAATTAAATCTCTTTACTTTCACACAACGACACATGCATTCCCAAATAAAAATAAACAATTAAACCTGTTATAGGTCTTCACTAATCTAGAGAAGACACATGGTGGCACCAACGTTGGCAATGACATATATATCTAACACTATAAGCAGCTGATAGGGTAATTCAACTAATACCACTTGAACATTTAATACAATAGATCACCTCTAATTAAAATCCACAGAGCCACTCTAATTATCAATTACTTCCCTCTTCAGCCAGTACTAGATCTCTGATGCAACAAATACATGTACAGCCGCCAGCTAGCCCCTACATGCTGATCTAGGGGTCTAACAAAAACTGATGGGGCCCTGATACGGATCTTAATCACTTAGAAGACATGAATTTTACATTGTCAAGTGCAGTAGGATGGAACGAGAGAGAGAGAGAGAGAGAGAGAGAGAGGGGGGGGGGGGGGGAAGGGAAGGGAGAGAGGGGAGGAAGGAGGGAGAGAAAGATAGTGGATAGGAGGGAGAGGAAGGGGGGAGGGGGGAGAGGGAGTGAGAGAGATTAATGGAATGGAAAGGGTCATAAAGACAGTCATCTCATTAATTCTCACAATCAAGAGGATTACAAGTCATCCTCCTTCATACAAAGCAATTTCCAATTTCTAGTTTCATTCTTTTAAAACTAATAGCCAGCTTAATACCACATTGGTTTCAATAGTAATTAGCCAATTAAGAAGAAACTAATACCTCTCTCGTACACATACTGTATTGTCTGTTTGTAGCCAGCTTGGTGTCTAGTATATGTAAAATGAATTAACGACCTTCTGGCTCCTAACAGACAAAACTTCAAATTTCTGGTTCCATTCTTCAAGTTGAGAGGATATTAAGTCCTCCTCCGTCTTTCATAATGGATTCCAATTTCCGGGTTTAATTCTTCTTTAGCCAGGAAGCAGATTACGATATTATGCCTGTCTGTTTCAAATCCTCCATGTCTATCTACTTAACTGAAGACGTAATCAATTATGACAACCACTATAATCTTGTCAAAGGGGTAACAGTTTAATGAAAAGTCCTTGTCCATTTGCATGCACATTTGTAATTTGCACTACATTTTATTGTCCGTCTATGAGCCAGACAGGTCTACACTAAAGTGGATCTTATTAACTCGTCTCCTTCAGTTGAGAGAAAGAAGGACAATAAGTTTGTACAAAAGTATGTGAGTTTATAACCCTCTGGCTCTCAGTATAATATATATTTGTGTATCCAATCAAATGGTTTGTTCACTTTCAAATGCAAAATGACTTCAAATCATGTCTGAAGTACAAACTTAATGATTCTTGAATTCTCTTCTTTAGCAGTTATAGTAAAAAAAACTAGATGGAATTTTGACTGCGCGCAGTCGAAAATGATGCCTCCGCCATAGAGCAATTTAAACAAGTTTGGAGTTTAAATCTCCAGTGGTTCTTGAGATATCATGATAACAATCTCAATGTATGGAATTTCATAAGTTGACCTCTGTGACCCTTGACCTTTGACCTACGTGCTCCAAAATCTAATCAGATTGTCTTCCTATGGTGATACACACTATCATTAAGTTTGAAGTTTAAATCTCCAGTGGTTCTTGAGATATTATGATATGGTGATACATACTATCATTAAGTTTGAAGTGAAAATTCTCCAGTGGTTCTTGAGATATCGCGATAACGATCTCAATGTATGGAATTTCATAAGTTGACCTCTGTGACCCTTGACCTTTGACCTACGTGCTCCAAAATCTAATCAGATTGTCTTCCTATGGTCATACACACTATCATTAAGTTTGAAGTTTAAATCTCCATTGGTTCTTGAGATATTATGATAACAATCTCAATGTATGGAATTTCATAAGTTGACCTCTGTGACCCTTGACCTTTGACCTACATGCTCCAAAATCTAATCAGATCGTCTTCCTATGGTGATACATACTATCCTTAAGTTTGAAGTTTTTACATCTCCAGTGGTTCTTGAGATATCATGATAACAATCTCAATGTATGGAATTTCATAAGTTGACCTCTATGACCCTTGACCTTTGACCTACGTGCTCCAAAATGTAATCAGATTGTTTTCCTATAGTGATACACACTATCACTAAGTTTGAAGTTTAAATCTCCAGTGGTTCTTGAGATATCATGATAACAATCTCAATGTATGGAATTTCATAAGTTGACCTCTGTGACCCTTGACCTTTGACATACGTGCTCCAAAATCTAATCAGATCGTCTTCCTATGGTGATACATACTATCCTTAAGTTTGAAGTTTAAATCTCAAATGGTTCTTGAGATATCGCGCTAACAAACTCAATACAAGGAATTTCATAAGTTGACCTCTGTGACCTGTGACCTTTGACCTACGTACTCCAAAATCTAATCAGATCGTCTTCCTATGGTGATTAATACTATTCCCGAGTCTTAAGTTTAAATCTTAAATGGTTCTTGAGATATTGTGATAACGGTCAAACGGGACGGACGTACGGACGTACGGACGGACAACCCGAAAACATGATGCCTCCGGCACCACCTTCGGTGGCGGAGGCATAAAAACATACCTATCAACCAAATCAACATGCCTACATTTCTGTACAACATGAATGAATATAAGAATTCACCCCTTCAGCAGTTATACTATATAATGACCTTTTAGTTTTAACAATCACAATGACCTCTCTCTCTTACAATCATTACTCCGACAACATGTCCTTTTCACTAATCCCAGCAACCTTTGTGCTTTAAGTACATGTACATGATAAGCTGGGATTTTTTAATAAGTTTTCCTTGACAACGTACTTCTAATGAATATTCATATCCTAATGAATATTCACATCCTAATGTCAATGTTTACCACTCTAGAACAAAGAGCTAACCCTAACTGCATTTTGGATGACTTCATAAAGAGCTTGAAGAAAGAGACAAGGAGGGTGTTTCACAAAGACTAAGATTGACTTTAAGTTTGACTTAACTATGGCAGGCCGTTCATGCCACTGTTTGCTCTCACCATTATGATCTTTAGATAGTATTTTTTCCTTCAATAATAAATTATTAAAAACATGAAATGAGACACCAATACCAGTAAATGGTGAGAGCAAACAGTGGCATGAACGGCCTGCCATAGGTAAGTCTAACTTAAAGTCAATCTTAGTCTTTGTGAAACACCTTTTGTGTTTGTGAGCCACTGTTAGCAGACTATTATGGTCAACCTTTGCATTAAATTGTTAGTAAAGATGCTCTCAAACTATGACATACTGTCTGTATATAGCTTGAAGTTAGACCTGGAAGCTTGGCAGCTGGAGACGGCTTTCTTCCAGAAGCTTTGGTATTCAAGGTATATTCAAGGATTTGTTTTATATCACAGCCTCAAGCTTGTTTGGGTTCATGGAAATGACCCTTCTGATACTGGCCTTCTTGCTGCTGGTCATTCATTGTTGAATAGGGGACCTCTTGGAAGACCACAACTTATTGTTTCGCATGAGCAGGTGTCCTCTTCAAGTTGTTGCTAAGTTTGTTTTGGGGGGCAAATATTGACAAAGGACTTCCTAAAATGGGAGTCACTAGAGAACCACAAACAAAAACAGATTGACTACACAAGATGCTCATGTCAAGGCAATGCTAAGCTAGACCATGTCATCTCGTAGGATGGTTTCAAATCTAATTTGTCTCCTAAGATTAAGAGCCAGTAGGACATTATTAACCCGTACCATTTAAATGGGATACAATTTGCCAATGCTTACTAGAGGAGTAAAGTGACATTCTGTTACCAAGAGCAAAAAGTTATTATCCTTGTTGAAATAAATGAAAAACAATGAATATATGTGAACTGACCTGTATTTTCCCTTGTTAGGTTGCCACTGGATTTCTTCTGACCGTTTAGTGCTCCATTGGACAAGCCATTGGAGAGTAGTCCCTGAGTGTTGGTGATGTGAGCAACCTTGAGCTGTTCTATCTTCTCTCGTAAGTCCTGGAGCTCACCGTCCTTCTGGTCAGCTGTAGAGGTCAAGCGCTGTAACCGGTTGGTCATGTTGGACAGACTCTGCTCAAAGGCTGCCACCACATGGGCCTAAACAAGAAAGCAAAAGAAATAAAAATGTGTTAATTAAGAACAAATGAATTCTAATATCCTAGTCATATCTGATGTAATGTCATGATATCCAAATGAAAACTCCAGAGTAAGATGAAACGGGCAGCACCAGATGGAAAATGATTTTTTTTTTTTTTTTTAATGGAAGAAAAATGTTGCCCTAAGGAAAAACTGATAGGATTATTTATCTGTTGAGAGTGAGAAGGGCTTTATCTGAGAGTTAGGTGACACCCTTCTGGTCTCAAATAGACAATACAAGCAAAGAATACTGAGCGTTCGCCAAACTTGAACAAACTTGAACTACCTCTGGATGATAATAAGGCCTGTATCCTCCATACGGAACAGAGACCGGTCTCCTGGTCATCATTACTGATGACATACCGGTAGAGGATCCTGGAACTATGAGATACGGCCTGCAGTACAATGTTCCTTTTTGCAGCAAATTCCAACAAGAATAGTGGAGGAAAATATGAAATATTCTAGTCCATGAAATATAAAACTCCCTCTGGTTGATCGTGACTTATGCACAAACTTGTTCAAGTAGCTCCAAGAGATGCTAGGAGATCCTGGTTTTAAATGACTTGCTTCCAACTGGTATATGAATATTGCTCCAATTAGGACGCATTTTCCTCGAAGAACAACATATTATTCATTCCAATGTAGAGCCAAGGAACTCTTTGGTAGAACTGTGAGGAGGCAAAGAACTCTAAAGCACAAAGACAAGGTGAGCATGCAGGTCGGATACATTTATCACAGTCTGGAGTTGATGCACATTATGTAGCAATGGATATATCCAGTGATCGTCAAGTTCAAACTGTTTGTTTAGGTGTAGCCAGGACCAAGTTTCAAACCACACACAGCATGAGCCCCCTGACTAACTGACCCGTCACCCCAATGTTCTATTACCAGTGGTATTACCCCTCTGCCACTCCTCCTATATATTACCCCTCTTTGACTTCTATTCAATCTCTATTGGCTCTTTTGGACAGCGCACCCATATAAATCTCCTGTGACAAGTGAGCTTCTGTGGGTGCATTCTATTCATCACATACACCTGTGGGAGGTGGGGAGGGGCTTAAGCTCTTGCCCCTCTTTCATGCTCCGATCCCTCTTAGGATTGCTGGGTCAGAATAATCCCTTCCTGATGGATTAAGTGACAATCAATTCATTGTAGGATAAGGAGGGGATGAAACATTGTAAACAGTGTTGTCTTGTGTACGTCTATAGTATAGTATAGGCCAGTATGTTATGGCTTGATTCATTCAACTTTGCATGTAGGTGTTGACGAAAATGCTGAAATGAAAAGCAGAGTAAGAGAGATAGGGATAGAAAGTGAGAAAAATAGATGTAGGCCCACATCATTATGGTATATGGGTAAAAACATATAGGCAGGGCAAAAGCAAGAGGGTATACTATCTGCTGGTCAAATTATGTATCAATGTTTATTACCTCCCATATGAGTCAAGAGGACACTACCGGTACAAACAAATAAGTAGAGATGAAGAAAACAGCATGGGATAGGCAATACACATCTCTATGTAACATTTCAATTAAACTGAGTAAAAGATTACCTGAAGGCCCTGTGTCCCATCTTCTATATGAAGCCAAGAGATGACTGGCTCTTGCTTGCTTTTCATGTATAGAACAGCCCTTATACAAGACAGATATTGATCGATCAAGTTCATACCTAACAACACTGTTGTCCAATGATGTAAAGATAAGCCAGTGAGTCTTGGATCAATACCAATTAAAAGCCGCGATATCCATTCGGTGGATAACTGTTCCTCAGAAAACAAGACAATAGGACAGGACCTAATCAATATGCCAGGACCTAATCAATATGACAGGACCTGTTATAGGGCTGGTCTAGAACTCTATAATCTGGACTATAGGGTTAAGGGTTTTCTTTGGCATACACAAAATGGTAGATGATACTTAACACTACTCTTGCTTTCAAGACAGTGATATTATTAAAATCAAAACATCTTCACATGTATAAGTCACTAGCTCGGCCTCTCATCGTCTATATATGTCATGTACAACTAACATGACTTAAAATATAAATGTTGCACAATGTACAGAACCGTTGTCAAATTTAAACAAGTTTTAGGGCAGTAAACATACACAACAACCTCAGTTCATGACCTCAAAAATAATTTTATTTAGTCTCTGCCGAATCCTTTACAAATATCTACGTCATCGCTTAAATAAGAACCTATTAGCACACCGAGACTTCAGATAACTGTTGTGATGTCACAATGCTATACAATGGTAAGAAAACATTGACATTTCAACTTAAAAGAGTTCAGCATCCAGAATAGAAAGTCTTTTGAACAAAGATGGATGCGGCCTGTGGTTTATACCACTTTCTGCTTAGTTAGGATTCCTCTTCCCTTTATAACTCCTAACTTTGAAGAAGATTCCTTGTAAAACTAAAGAGAGAATAAGATAGCTTACATATTTCTTTGAAGATATTGATTGCATTTATGTACTTACATGCAGAAATATATTAGATAACATTACATAATCCACACAAACTTTCTACTTTTATTTTTATGATGAAATATCACAAGAAAATTTACTACATCTGGCAAGACAAACATTTCAAAAGCTTCGCAAACAAACAAATATAGTGTCACCACGGAGATGATCAATCAGTTTGGAATAATCTAGGATGATTTCATTCTACTTTCTACCGGTAATTAAAGTTAAGATGAAGAAGGGCAGCATTGTCAATCCAAAGCCCTATGTATATCAATCACTTTTATAACTCCTCTTAAGGATGTTTTTTAGGTTTCACTGAAATACACACCCAGCCCTTATCCATAGCTACACAAATACAAACTATCAATAAAGAACGAGAAGCCCAGATTGACTGTATAATGCTCAATGTAAATCTAAAGGGGGGCATTCATACACCCCTGGGAGAGGGTATATGTATTTTTAACCCATTCAAGTAAATTCACCTTCATTCATTTCAAAGTCTGACTAAAGACTTGAGACTTTAAATGGGTTTATAAGTGCTTTGAGAAAGAGAATCGCATTCCAATGCCTTTTCAGCAACTGCTAAATTGAATACGAGGCAGGCAGAAGGGAACTATTATTGTAAACACAATGTTAATGCGTTTCTGGCTCTCAACATATAATATGATATAGACCTAGCTCAGTAGCAGAGTGACTGCAAGTAGAAACACCCCCTACCCCACATAAACACACACACACTATACCACAGGGGGTGAGAATGGTGGCAAATACATTTCTAAAGTGACTCTCACACTCTGCCGTGTAGGCCTACCGTGTGCCACCGTGCGCGAAAATGTCTGCGGACGGTGGAGAACGGCGAGGGCACACGGTGGTTCGTTATCAAAGCGGGCAACACGTTAATAGGGCGTTGGCGCCTATTTACACCCGGTGGGACCCGGCGAAAGTTTTGGGCATGTTCAAAACTTTGGCCGGCTGGCACCGGCCGCAAGTAAGCGGCAATAGGACGGTGTTGAACGGTATGAGGACGGTATGAATACGTTATGAAAACGGTCACACTGTATGAACACGTTCACAACACGCTCATAACCCGTTACAGAACGGTGATGAACGGGCAAAAAAAAAAATCCACCGTCTGCAACGGGTTGTAAGCGGGTTGTGAACGTGTCATGAACGTCAGCAGTCCGGGGACTCGCTCACAGGACGCTCGGAGCGCTGAGGGGACGCTAAGTGACTGGTAGGTGGCTGCTACAAACCCGGTGCACACGTTCGAGACCCGGTATGGAAACGGCCAAAATTTTCAACAAAAGTCAATCTGGGCGGTGAAGACGGTAGAAGCACGTTCAACACCCGGTATGCGACCGGTGAGAACGGTCAGAAGATGGCAACGAAATGGTGAAAAGATTAATTTTATGAATTTTTTTTTGCGGCCGGGGACAAGTTCGCTCAAAACCCAACGTTCTGGACTCTGTTTTTTTTTTAATAGCCCGGCAGGTGGACGGTAGGCCTACACGGCAGAGTGTGAGAGCTCCATAAGACCTTCATACCAGTACCATGAATCCTCCTACATGAAAATTACCAACTTGGGCCTTAAACCAAAATGCTCTTTTCAGTTCTTTTTAAGTTCTTGACAATTTGCAGAAGTCATATTTGTTGTAGTGTGCATGCAATGGAGGCCCGTTTCAACATGACTTCCAAACCACGCACTTACTGTGCTGATATTTCCTTTCAAGTTTGCTAAGAGCCAGAATGGCATTAACTAACACTACTTAACATAGACCCAATGCACTCACTACATACAGTTCAGTTTAGCACCCATAATATCTTTAGTATATTTGTGTGACCAACATCTACTCAAGATAACGAAGGGGTCGAAACCCTTCATGGTAACCTGACATAATTAAGTGAATATCAATTTTCCTCACATGAATCGTCCAGAATTGTGAAAGTGCTCCAGATATATCAATATCATGGCTAATATGCATTCATACATATCCCTCAATCAGAATATATGTCTGTTCTTTCATAAGAATTGTTGTAGAGGGGTAGAACAGCAATGTTGTGTACAAGACAGGCCCTATGTCTCTCTGCACGATTTGAAATGGGAGATTATTCATTATTAGGGACCTTAAATTTAACAAAATTAGAATGTTTCCCTGTTTTAAAGATTTTCTTACATCTTTTTTCTATATCCCTTCCATTATGCTAAGTAATTATAAATATCATTTAATGATACATTTTCATCATCTTATATGACATGTATCCTTCTTCTAACTGAGAGCCTTATTTATTCCTAAGCATGCTTTGTGTGTATGTGGTTTGATGTGAGGGATAGCATTAGAAGCCTAGCAACATCAATCTCCCTAATGGAACAGTGACCTTTCATAGTCACCTTTCATAGTCTATTGAAGAGAAGCTTGGTTTCTGGTGAAGATCTGTGGAACAATATGTGTAAGCTTTGCAGAAGAAATGTCTCCTCACTATTCACTTTCATGTGA